ATAACGTAATAAAATAAAATTAAAAAAAAAAAAAGGGCAGCCCTTCCCTTCCACCAGTCTGGGGCTCCTCCTTCCAGTATCTACTGGTTCCGAACAATGCCACCACTTTCTAGGAGAAAAATATACAGAGACGGTCTCAGGAGAGGGCAAATTAAACCAAGACAGGGCACAGTGCCAGGGAATCAGCATAAAGGAGACTCGTTCGCCTTTCTGTGGCCCTGGCCATGTCAGCAAGCTCTCTTTCCAAAACTACCCCTATTTCCAAAGAAATCTTACAAGTTGGGGTTATTAATGAACTTAAAACAATTCTTCTTTAAAGTAGGCTCCATGGGGGACCAGAACCTGCAACCCTGAGATCAAGACCTGAGCTGAAATCAAGAGTCAGATACTCAACCAACTAAGCCACCCAGGCACCCTTTAAAATAAATTTTAATTGAGCAATTAACTTGGGTCCAGCATCTTACCAGGTATGGGAACTGCTTCCTTTTCAGGTAAACCCGTTTAGTAGCAGAAAGAGCAGTTAACACAGCGGTCAAGAGACCTGAAGTTCCAGTCCAGGTGTCGCATACTTAAATGCCTACAGGGGCTGGTGGATACTGAAAGGAATTAAGGGAGCATAGGAACCTAAAGCAGTTCCTACCCTGCCTCAGTTTGCATTCCAGCATCTCCAAAAGCTGGCATGGGTTCCTCTGCAATTTTCAAAACATCCTGCCTCTGCTCCCTATGGGTTCTTTCCTTTACTCTATCTGCTGGTACTTTTGCTCTTAAGACTGGACTTAAATATCCTTTTCCTTCTTTTGCTCCAATTCTGAATAAAGCCCACTTGTCACAAATCCTCCTCTAAGGGATACCCCACATTAATTCTCCTCTTTCCTTTCTTTGCCTGTCTGCCAACAGTCCCCCCAAATGGTCTGTGATATACTCCAAAGGCTCAGACCTATATCTCTGGCTCCGATTTTTCTACCAGTTTCCAGATCCCTTTCCCGCTCAGCTTCCAAAATGCTTCCAGTCATACGTTTAACTGACACTTTTAGAAGTCTGGAGTCTAAAGCAGAATGAATCCTCTTCCTTTCTGTTCCCCCTAAACTGTTTTCCTCCAGATGCCCCAATCTTTGCGCGTCACTCAGCCACTCCATTTGGAAAATGTGGCATCCATCTAATTCCTCCATTTCAAGATAATGGCCAAATCTTCTCAAGTCTTCCTTTATGAATGCGTCTGCCATTCTAGCCATCAGTGGTATCACCTTAGCTGAGGGCTTGTTCCACCACAGGTGAACTTTTGAAGTGGTCTAAGTGGAACCTAACCTTTTGGGTTCCCTCTGCAAGGCACTAACTGTTTTATCTGGTAGGACCCTTTGGCAAACAGCAGCTTGGAATCTCAATGGCTTCTGCTGAAATCTTGAAAATCAATTTCTTTGGTCAACAAACTGGGTGTGGCAAATAGTAGGATGAGAGATAATTTTCTACCAGGTTATAAGGAGAAAGGCCCCAATTTCCCACTCTTGAGGAGTACATGCGGAGCACAGGTCTATACCAGTGGTTCTGAAGAGGGGCACACTTTCGCCCCCAGGGAACATCTGGCAATGCCTGGAGGCATTTTTAGCTGTGGCAGGGGTCAAGGGTGCTCAACACCCCCTAATGCACAGGACAGCCTCCCACAACAGAGAATGAATGATCCGGCCTCGGATGTTCACAGTGCCAAAGCTCAGAAACCCTGGTCTAGCCCTTGGGAAAAGGGGGAGTCAAGGCAATGTAAGCTCAAGACAAGGCTGGTATAAAAGGATCCTGAAAGAAAGGAGAAAGCATCTTACAGCTGCCAGAGAAGATCGTTATGGTTACTTAGTCTTCTTGGCACCAGAAAGAAAGAAGGATGGGAAACAAGGTCCTATTTGCATTTGCAATAAAACCACTGCCATTTCTGTACTGATGAGTAAGAACATTATGAATGCTTGTATTTTAGTAAACAAAAGGGCTGTTATCTGGGACTGTGGACAACCCTGTTAGAACAACACCGCTGCAGAACAAGTATGGACCTAACCACCTAACATGATAGAGACTTGTCTTTTAAACTCATTCCATCAACCTGCAAACTGTCACATCAGCAATCCTACAATAATTATTTCTTAAACAAGCGCAGTATATTCCTACATCTACACCTTGGCGCATACATCTCCTTGGTCTATAATCTCCACCCCTCTGCTGCTTTACCTAAACCTAAGCCATCCCTTCTTTTGACGCTCAGTTCCAACCCCCCCTTCTATAAGCACATCTGTCCATGCTATTTATTTAACACTGGCAATAAATAAAATCTTCTACTGTCCTAATGGCATTTCTTAACACATACACCTGGTCTCTCCAATTAAAAATGTAACTTCCCTGAGGTCAAAGACCCTGTTGTAAACTTACAGACCCCTAACGCTGATCAGAGTACTTTGCACAGAGCAAAGGCACCCCAGCCCCGCACCCCCTCCTGGAGTTACTGGTAATAGATTCTGCCCGTATTTTTTTTTTTTTTAAAGATTTTATTTATTTATTTGAGAGAGAGAATGAGAGAGAGAGAGCATGAGAGGGGGGAGGGTTAGAGGGAGAAGCAGACTCCCCACTGAGCAGAGAGCCCAATGTGGGACTCGATCCTGGGACTCCAGGATCATGACCTGAGCCAGAGGCAGTTGCTTAACCAACTGAGCCACCCAGGCGCCCAGATTCTGCCCGTATTAACAGTGAGCATTTACTGAGTATTTACTATGCGCCAAGAGCTGTTCTAAGCACTTAACATCTAACATCTCCCTTAATACTACTGTTCTCCCCACTTTGCAGGAAAGGAAACAGAAGTACAGAATGGGGCAGTAACTTGTCTTAAGGTTGTCCTGCTACGAGGTGGTGGAGAGGGTTCAAACTCAAGTACTCTCACTCTAGGGCCTGGGTTTATGGCGCACAAACAATTTCTGCTTATGCATGTACTAAGCTCTCACTGCCTAGATACACATAATGTCTGAAAAAAAGCGCTGCCGGTTTTCTTGAATAGCAAAAAGTTGAACAAGCTATAGATCTAGTTTAGCAGTTCCAGCCACTGGCAGACCTTTATAGGATTAACTGAACAAGGAAATATCACACCAAGAATATTTTTTTAAAATGCTCTCTTGCGAAATATCAAGTTGCCTAAAATGTTTTGGAACCACAGGGTGACCAAGTCAATTCCTTACAAATTGGTTGCCCAACCATAATGGGCAGGTTCATTCCAATGTATTTCAGGGACAACAAAGTCTTTCTGAGAAGGCAAGCATGACTGAGTGCCCATGCTCTGATCTTACTGCTGGCTGAGAAGAGCACATTGAACACTCACTACCTCCCAGTGCCTCATCTGTTAGATGAAGCCACTAATACTTGCTTAATAGGAAGAGGATATCAGGTGGAGGATGTAAAATGCTCTCTCTGCCTATCGTAAATTCTCACTAAATTCTGCCTTTCCATTTATCTTTCTTTCTTCTTTTTTTTTTAAAAAGATCTTATTTATTTGAGAGAGAGAGTGAGAGAGAGCACGAGCAGGGGAGAGGGAGAAGCAGACTCCCCGCTGAGCAGGGAGCCTGATGCGGGACTTGATCCCAGGATACCAAGATCATGACCTGAGCCGAAGGCAGATGCTTAACCTACTGAGCTCCCCAGGTGCCCCTCCATTTATCTTTGAGAGGGACCAAAATTAGCCCTACTTTGCAATTCTCTACCCTCCATGCCACCTGCTGTGACAGCAATAAACCTAGATCATAGCTGATTCTGTACCTCCAAGGCTCAAAACCTTCAATGGTTCTCAACGATCCAAAGGATAAACTCCAGCATTCCTTAAAATACCCCCCAAGTATTGCTGCAGTGTTTTCACCAATTCTCTTCTCCTAAAATCTAAACCCAGCTTCCAAAGGGCCTCTCTCTCCCCTATTTGTTTGCAGCAATATACTAATATGACTTTAGTAATTTTCTTAATAACCCAAGCCTGTAAAACAATCAAATAACATTAACTACCTCTAATTAAACAAAAAGAATCCTGCCTCTGGGCATAGCACTCACTGAAGTAGCACTATGAAGAGCTTTTAATTTCTTAAAGTAAATGCAAAGAATGTAAAAGTTTACATTTAAGCAGAAGTCAAGTTGACAATGAAGAGGAGGTATTCAAATGTGTGACGGTTTTCTGGAAAGCATGCCCTAGGACCGAAGAGCTGAATTAGTGGAAATGTTTAACGCAATGAGAAAACCCTGACAAAGTATCAAAGAATCTTTTGGGCCAGTCGGGAGAGCAGAATTAGGTACAACAGGTGGATATTCCTGGGAGGCAAGTTTCAGCTCAAGTTCAAGGAAGCCAGGAGGGAATGGGCACCCCTGAGCCGTGCTGAGCTCACCCATGGGAGACGCTTGGGCCCCAGTCTCATGACTTATCTCATGATAAGGGGCAGAGGGAATTCTCTAACTGGTCGGTAAGTCTGACCAACTCTGAGGTCCCTTCCTAACGCTGGAGCAGGGCCGCAGAAGAGAAGACACGGAAACGCTCTGATCAGAAAGAGACTGTGCCTGCATTTTAACTATCTTTCTAGTTAAAATTGGGGGTGGGGTGAAATGTAGTAATTGGGGAAACGTGGCATCGGAGAGGTGACATCTCTGCAAAATGCCCCTAAAGATCCTAAACTCCGAGGCTCCCAGGGCCCAATGGCTTGCAAAGGACCAACTGGCAACCATGGCTCTCCGACTCCACTCACGCTGCTTGCTCCGGCAAAGAAGCTTCTAGAGCAGCTCCCAGCCCCCTTCTCACCAGCTGCCACTCTCACCCCTCCTAACAGAAGAGGAGGCCGGCTCCGCCAGAGGCCTGCAGGGAGATCGGGGTCGCGACGCGGCGGAGAGAGGGAGGCTCCGACCCGGGACGTGCAGCGGGCTCCCGGGTCCCGTTAGGAGAAGCCCCCGCCGCCGGGGCCAAGGTCGTCCCGGGCCCCCAGGACACCCGCCGCTATCGTACTCACCAGCGCGCTGCCAGCCAGCAGCCGAGCCGCCGCTGCCTCCATGAGCGGGGCAGGCTAAGTGGCTGTGCCGACCCCACGAAGTCGCTACTCAGCGCCTCCGGGCCGCGCGCCAGCGCTTGGGGGCGGAGCCAGGACCTCGCCCCCGCCCCGCCCCCAGAGCCCCTCCCTGGCCACGCCCCCTCGTGTCTACGGAACCCCAAGACAGACATACAGGCCCCTCTTCGCCTTTGCCCTGCGTACTGCTCACGCGAGACTTGGACAAGGCAGTGGGGCGGGAAGAGAATCGGAGACACAACAAACATGGCGGCGGCAGCGGCTGCGACGGTGACGAAGACAGCGGCGGCGGCGGCGACAGCGGCGTTAAACAAGGCAGTGGGAGTTAGTCGGTGCGGTGGTCAGGTGGTAAGTAGCAGGCTTCCGGCTCGGACGGCGGCGACACAGCTGAGCAGGACGGTTAAGAAGGAGCGGCAGGAGGCGAGAGCCGGGTTAGCGCCGGGCCGGCTGACCCCACCCGGGACTCCGTCTCAGCGGAGGGTTGGGCGTGGTCGGTCAGTCGGCAGGGTCACGACCCGGGACGTTCCTGGCCCGAGTGCAGAATGTGCGGTCTCTCGGTTTCGGGAGCCCCGAGGGAGCGGCGCCTGTGGCCAGGGGCTGGCGACTCCTGGGTAGGGAGATGCCTCTCGCTCTGACAGGTGGTCGTGTGGGGGTCTCCGCGAGGTTTGCGTCTTCACCGGGTACCAGATGCTGGGGGTCAGCGGAGGCGCGAGTCTCCTGGGTGCTCCGAATCCTGATGAGGATGCTGCCCAGACGCCGGTCCTGGGCTGCTCCTTGGGAGGACTTTTAAAACCTCTGTCTGTTATCTAATGGTCCAGCCTGGGTTAGTTTCTACTGTTCGTGCACTCTAATTCTGCGGAGATGTGAGGTTTGGGGAGGGCTTTGCAGCAAAGACCTATTCAGGTTCGTACAGGTTTAAGTCTCTCGGTAAACTGTAGTGCGGGTAGCCAAGCCGTGCACCTATTAAATGCTCCTCTAATTGTGAATTAAATTGAAGTTACACCGGTTCCAGCTACCACTAACCAACCACGTGGCCCATTTAGTGTCCCCTTAATGTGCTGTTCAGAACCCTAAGGAGGAGTGACAAGCGGTAGAAGAAGTAAAGACACTTTAAATTGTGAGATCTAAGGAAATTCAGTTTAGAAGAAACAAAAGTTATTTAAAACAAAATTTTAAACGTCTGGACAAATGGTATTAAAATTCCATTTAATTTTAATTGATGACGTGCCTTCAACACAGCTACAGTTTAATATATTGTTGGGAAATCGTTACAGGGAATTGAGAGATGTTTGGGGTTTTGTTTTTTTTTTGCTCCTAAGGGTTCAAACTGTTTCCCAGAAAACCCTGTGTTTGAGGTTGTGATAGAGAGCATCATAAAGATGAGAATCAAATGTTCCCTTGTTGGGGGTGCCTGGAGGTTTTCTTTCTAACCCTTTCCCACAAATGTTTCCCTACAAGGCTAGTGCATTATTTTTATGCAACTATAATTGTTCAGTACTAAGCCTGACCCTTTAAGTGTACAGTACTGTGCACAAATGAAATTAATAACTTAAATTTAAGAAAGACATTAAGAATTTGCCAAATATGAAATCTTAAGAAATCCAAGTGGGAGGAAGGGGGAGTCAAATTAGTGCATGTTATTCTTTGGTGATTCTTTGGAGCTTTGTTGACCTGAGCCTGTTGCTTTGTTCTTTGATTATCTGTTAGATTAGTTTTCTTTTCTGGTAATGGTAAAATTGGCAGAAGTTATTTTCTTAGCTTATTAAACCTGTAGATGCTAATTAACTTTTTCTCATAAAGGTTTTGATTTATGGTATGCTTTCTTTGCAGACCTCTGTATGGCTTTTCAATTTTAGTTGAAATTCCCTCCATGGCCTTTTGGAGTCCCTTGGTGTGTCTCCAGAGTAAATTTCGATTACTCTACATTTCATCAATGTTGGAGTGGCAAGAAAAAAGAGGAACTGATTTGGGGTGAAAAGGTTAGAGTGTGTAGCTCCTGTTTTGGATATCTTCTAACTTTATTTTACTTTTACGTTATTTTTCTGATCTCTCAAAGCTTCATAATGTCCCTTTTTGCGTTCAAGGAATTTTTTTTTTTCTGTAATCAGAGGAAATGTGCTCTAATTGTCTTTGAAGGTTCGTGTTAACTCTCTATACTTAAATCAGTCCTCATTTGTCGGGCTTCACCATTGATGTGTATTCTATGGCAGAGTAAATCTTTCAGTGACCATAATTATTGGGCTATAAAAATAAGCACATCTATTGAACTGTAATCACTTTATTTGTAGAGGCCTACCTAACTGCCAAATTAAGCTACTGTATAAGTAAGTTAGTTGCTAAGTATTCTACCTTATGGTTAGTAACCCCCAAATGGTAGGTGAATAAAATAGATCTTTCTATTCCTTAATCATGTTGTTCTCAAAATTCTCCCATAGCTTTTAAAAAAGATAGCCTTTGGGAAGAAGGTAGGTTATAGAGATTCTTCTAGTTCTTATGTCACTGCTCTTTCATAGTTGTGGCTGTCTTCTAATTCACATCATGGTGCCTGTTTTGTTAGTTCCTGGTTAAGAGGGTGTGTGTGTGTGTGTGTGTGAGAGAGTGTGTGTGAATCAACAACTTCCCATTTATAATGTGAGACTGAAGAACTAATATCAGAAGACTTCATACAAATAAAACCTTTATCAGAAACCAAGGAAAGTCAGAGAATAGTTTTAAGTTAGTGGCTTAAAGGTAAAGAGGCTTTCATGTTCTTCTGGGATAGCAAAACTTATTTCTTAAATATTTCTTTACTTCACTAGTGTAGGTAGCGTCTGGTTGTTTTGTAAGAACCTTATTTTTGAGCCTTGAATGGATAATTTGGGAGAAACTATTGTCATAAAAATAGTTCAGGTACATTCTACCCAGTTTATACAGACATGTACCTACACCTCATAGAATCCCATACTAGACCCAGCTTAACTTTGATCAGGGTAATCACAGGGAGGACTAAAAAATTTTGCCATATCCTCATAGAATCCCATACTAGACCCAGCTTAACTTTGATCAGGGTAATCACAGGGAGGACTAAAAAATTTTGCCATATCATAAGGAATGATAATCATACAGTGTGGGAATAATTCTCTGGTTGATATAATTAGATATCATTTAGTAGAAAGATTAGATCAGGCTAGGAATACACCACCCAAATCTGCAATAAAATTGGAGAACTCAAGTATGTTTCTTTTTCTGATGACATGATCTTACATACTGAAATTTGTGTAAGTTATTTTTTGGCTAACAAGCTCCAAGATGTTAAATCCGTGGCTCATGGAAAAGATATCTTCAGTAAAAACATAGTTTGCTGATGTCCTAAAGTAGATTTTTATGGTATGTGTGCAAAGATTTTTAAATTTATCATGGTCTTAGGGGCATCTTTGGATTTCAGTTGATTTGTGGAGTTCTTAGATTAAATTTACAGTCAGAGGGGCGCCTGGGTGGCTCAGGTCATGATCTCAGGGTTCTGGGATCGAGCCCCGCATCGGGCTCCCTGCTCAGCGGGAAGCCTGCTTCTCCCTCTCCCACTCCCCCTGCTTGTGTTCCCTCTCTTGCTGTGTCTCTCTCTGTCAAATAAATAAAAATCTTTAAAAAAAAAACAAACTTTCAGTCAGAGACTGATTACTTTATTAAAGACAGGAAGATGTCTTGGATATAAAACCTTTACTTTCTTTTGATTTTAGGAAGTCTGTAGTTTCACAGTTACTGTTCTTTTTCTATTTACTGTTGCTTAGAAATAGTGACTTGAGATGGAGAAAGCTGGATTTTGAACCAAAGGCTCCATTCACATTCAGGCAAGGGCCTGTCCTGGGGTGTGTGTATTTGTGTGTGTGTGTGTGTGAGAGAGAGAGAGAGAGAGGGAGAGAGAGAGAGAGAGGGAGGGAGGGTGGGTGTGAGAGAGAGATGTGACGAAGGTCAGGTAAGCACAAAAAATGCTTAGGGATGGAATGACACTTAATTTTTAAGTGATTGCAGAATGTCTGAGGTTGAAAACCATATAAATATATTTAAAACTCTTAAGAACAGATTTTTTTTTCATATTTATAATGTTATCTTCCCTTTTTTCATTGGCATTCTTTTTTTTTTTTTTTTTAAGTCCATCATACATTATGATTGAAAATCATCACACAATTTATGGGAGAGAACGCAGTGAAATTTATAATGTGACAATGTGATAATAGCCAAGACTGTCAAAATATGCCAGCCATTACATCCACAAAAGTAATTAGGCTCATTTGTGTTCTTAGAACTTGAGATGCATGTGTAAAAATACCATTTTCTTCTGCTTGCTTACTGGCAATCTCATGCATTTTTTCTGCACTGTCACATGTTCTCCCGTAGCAGTGTTAGGCTTTCTAATCAGGAATTGGTAGGACTTACCTTGCTTATTGAAGCCTATCAAAGTATATTCAGATATTTTCCAGTGGAAACATCTCAGTTTTTATATGAACTGATTAGCAAGAAGTGATGCTAAGTTGCAAAGTAAATACCAGGATTTCTTTCTTAATTACAACTTTTATAATTAGGACACAGACAGTCTTTAGGGCCTTACCAGTCAATCCTCATACTTTTACTTTTTTCCTTTTATTGTGGGGGCCTCTTCCTTTAATACTGTGTTGAATAGCAGTAGTAATAGCAATCATCCTGGTCTTATTTATCTTTGATTCTAAAGGGAATGCAACTAAATTTTCTCCATTAATTGGTGTAGGTTTTTGGAACATATCCTTTATCAGCTCGAGGAAGTTAAACATTCCAAATTTGAATAAATGATTACTGTTATTTTCTTGCCCCTAGTGTTGCCTTTGGCACTCAGATGACAATCTGATTTTCTTATGTGGGTGGACTGTCTTTTTTTCTCTAGGAAGTTTTATATTCTCTTTGTCTTCTTTGAGGTTTTAAAATTTCAAAATGTGTCTAAGTGTTGTTTTATTATCATATACTGTTTTGCACTCTATGATCCTTTTCCATCTGAAAGGGGTCTTTAATTTTGGAAATTTCTTGATTGCTATTTTTTAAAAAACCATTTCTCTTTGTTTACATTTGTTTTTCTGAAACTCATTTTAGAACTGCTGTATTTCTTACCTTTTAATGCATATTTTTACATTGTTTCCCACCTGTGTGTGTTTTGTTGTCCTTCTTTCCTTTTCCTTTTATTGAGATACGATGTTACTACAGATTATTGTTGATCTTAATCTTCTACAGATTATTGTTGATTTTATTCTTAATAATCTGACTGGCTCACTTCCCCCCCCCCACCAGGGGGCAAATTTTTTTTTTTTTTAATTTTATTTATTTATTTGACAGAGAGACAGCGAGAGAGGGAACCCAAGCAGGGGGAGTGGGAGAGAGAGAAGCAGGCTTCCCGCTGAGCAGGAAGCCCAATGTGGGCTTGATCCCAGGACCCTGGATCATGACCTGAGCTGAAGGCAGATGTATAACTGACTGAGCTACCCAGGTGCCCCCAGAGAGCAAATTTTAAAGGACAAATGAACAGAATCAGCAGTAGTCACAGAACAAATAGTAATACACTGATTTGGAAGCAGAGAGAATCAGTTCAGATAAGCCTGGTAAGATGAGAAAAAGCAACTGAAACAAATTTGTTCAGAAACCAACAGTAATCCTTCAAATTAAGAAAGTTGAGCCAGATCAAAGCAAGTGATTTAAAGAGGTAGTGTAAAAGAGTAAAATAAGATACGAGTTTGGGAAATTACAGTTTGGGCTATATGGATTACTGAGATGAAGGTAGACCATGTTCGTTTCATTATAACTAAAACGAGAGCTTACGAGGCTCAGTTGATGAGCTGATTGATAGAAAAAGGGAAAAAAACTGAATCTGGGACAGAGGAATGTTTTGACCCGAGGTATAACCATTTTTTGCTGCACAAATAGCTGAGAACATGCCATATGCTACAGGTGTTGGGAGATACTTTACATATAGATACTTGTAAAACTTAAAACAGCACTGCCAGTTGGTATTATTATTACATTTTACAAAATAAGAAACTACAGCTGAGAAAAGTTTCTGTTCAGAGTCTTCAAGCTAGTAAGTTTGGCCTAATACTGTAATACTCTGTTCATCCAAAGGATAGACTTTCAGTGGCCTCAGTTTTCAAGAAAACGGTGAAAAGTGGTAGTGATAATAATACCTTTTAAAAACCCCTAGACATCTTCTAAGAAGGGTGGAAAAGAACTGTTCACAAATGTTGCATTGTTCAAGAACAATGAAAATTTGGTCACCTGCACATTCTTATTTGGATAAATATGTTCAGAATAAAGAACAAGTTAACTGTGAGGAGAGAGGAAGACAAGAAATACAGAAATTAAATAAATCAGTCTGGGGCCAGTAAAGGGAAACCAAAAACAGCCCTTCATTAGTTCCTAAAATATCACTGCATTGTTGTACAGTACAGCACTCTATAGGAGGAACATGGTCAAGGGTTAGTCTATATCTAGTAGAGTGCTAGTTAAGTTAGTTAAAAACAGAAGTTTTGGTCTTAAAACATCAGTCAAGCTACTGTCAGTTGGGAAACATGCTGTTGGTGAAGCCCTCTCATTTCTCAACTCCATAGTTCTTTCTTTGGAAAACAGGCTGAAAAGTACTCAGAGTAGTCCAGACATTCTCAAAGAAGAAAAATGTAACTGGTGGACTTAAATGACTGAGATATTAAGATTTTTATTACTAGGACTGGGTGGTATTGGTGTGAGGCTAGACAAAAATAGACCAGTGGAACAGAATAGAGAATCCAGAAATAGGGTCACATATATATAATCACCTGATTTAGAAAGGTGGTAATAGAGTCTAGTGGAGAAAGGCTGGTCTGTGAAATGTATGTTGCTAAACAGTTGGCTCTCTCTTTGGAAAAAAGTGTATTTCAACTCTTACCTCACAGTATACATACACAAAGCTCAGTTCCAGATAAAAATATGAAAGGTAAAAAAAAAATAGTAAAGCTTTTAGAAGAAGCTGCAGAACATCTTCAAGGAAGATGTTGGCAAGGACACAACTCTAAATGTAAAGGAAAGAAATGGGTAAATTGGACTATGTTAAGAACTTCTGTTTATTGGGTTATCTTTAAGTAAGTGAAAAGGCAACCAAAGAGTGAGAGAAGACACTGAAAATATACATATCTAATAAAGAGCTCATATCCAGAATATTATAAAGAACTCTTAGATATTAACTAGAAAAAGACAGAAAACCTAATAAAAAATGAGCAAAAGACTTGAACAGATATTTCACTGGGTATGAAAATAGAGGGTATCTCTGTGGCTAATTAACATAAAAAGTATACAACTTCATTAGTTATCAAGGAATAGAAATGAAAACCAAAGTGATACCGCCACGCACCCACTGGAATGGCTGAAATGAAAAAGGCAAAAAATACCTGTGTGTTGGCAAGGATATGGAAGAACAGAGTTCTTGTTCATTGCTGATGGGAGTGTAAATTGTCATAAGCACTTTGAAAAACCATTTTGCGTTGTCTAGAGGTGAATATATGCAAGCCCTGTGACAGCAATTTCAGAAGTCAGGGTAGTGGAGCCCTTGCCGGGGCTCTGGGGGACCAGTAGTGGAAGGGTCCATCCTGGGATGCTGGTGGCCTTCTGTTTCCCGACGTCGGTCAGACTTCATGGATATGTTCACTTTGTGATGACTTGTTGAGCTCTGCCCTTAGGATTTATGTGCTCTTCTGTGTGTATGCTGTGCTTTGAGAAAAAGTTCAGCATATATGTTGAGAAGTGACTAATCTTTAGCTTTAGATTCCATTCTATTGGCTTTTAAAGATGAGGACTTTCTAAGATAGAAATTAGTTATTAAATAGTTGGAGTTTAGGGAAAAAAATGAGCAGAAGACATATTTAAGAAGACCTTATACATTTGCATAAAAATTTTTACTGGGAGAAAAGACCTTTATCTCCTAGGTTGTTCTTCCTAGAAAACTTTTTGGTTATTTGATTTCTGAATTTGGGCCATAAACCTATGTGAAGACCAGTTTAGTTTGCGATTACAAAATCTCATAGGAGATTTTCCTCTACATTAGCATCAGAATTTTTTTTTTTTTTCAATAATCATAGGGGTGCATATGTAGTTTAGAATTAGTTTTTTTAATTTTCTTTTTTAAAATTATTGTTTTTTATTATGTTCAGTTAGCCAGCATATAGTATATCATAAGTTTTTGATGTAGTGTTCAGCGATTCATTTTTTTGTTTTCTTTTTTTTTTTTTTTAAGATTTTATTTATTTATATGACAGAGAGAGACAGCGAGAACAGGAACACAAGCAGGGGGAGTGGGAGAGGGAGAAGCAGGCTTCCCGCTGAGCAGGGAGCCCGATGTGGGGCTCGATCCCAGGACCCTGGGATCATGACCTGAGCCGAAGGCAGACGCTTAACGACTGAGCCACCCAGGCGCCCCATTTTTTTGTTTTCTTTCTTAATTTTTCCCCTCATTCTCAGAGTGAATAGGATGATGTGTGGTGGTAGAGGTGGTGATTTGGATTTCCAAGGCAGAGGTCCGGAAACTATAGCCTATAGGCTTATCCTGGCTCAAGGCCTGCTTCTGTAAAGCCTTATTTTGGAACATAGCCATACTCAATTTGTTCACACATTATTTGTGGCTGCTTTTAGCTAAAATGACAGAGTTGAATAGTTGGGACAGAGACCTCATGACCTGCAAAACCTAAAATACTACTGTCTGGCCTTTTTACAGAAAAGGGTTGCCACCCCCCTGTTCTAGAGCACCTATTTCTAGAGCATTCATGTGAACCCTATGATTTGAGAGCCTTTGCTGTCTGAAATGATAGTCACTAGCCATATGTAGCTATTTCCATTTAAATTAATTAAAGAAAATAAAAAACTCAGGTCATTTGTATTAGCCACATTTGAAGTGCTCGTCGCTATGTGTGGCAAGTAGAGCTCTGTTGGACAACACAGATATGTAACATGTCCATCTAGAAAATTCTCTTTGGCCTCAATTGAGCCACTTTTTTTTTTTTTTTTTTAACTGTCTCCTTCATTGATAATCCCTGCTGCTGTGCCTGTTTCTTTCATGTGGACTTATTTTCTCTTTTTTTCAGTCTTTGTAATTTTTTTCCATCCTCTTAAGACTGAGTTTGGTTCCAGTTTACTTAAATATTAATGATAGTAAATTTTCACAATTTTCTCTGTGTGTTCTCTAGTTCACCAAGAAAATGATAAGCTATTTAATGGCAGATACTGTATTCTCTGTGCTTTGTACAGTGCCTTGTACATAGTAACCTTTGTCACTGTTGTTTTGATATATGCTGGATCTCCCTAAATAGTGTGAAATTATTTCAGTTTTTTTCCCCCTAGGCATAACAAACTGTAAACTTCAAAAGAAAAAAGAAAAAAAGGATAAAGCAAAGATGGGTGAAAAGAAACCAGAGCCTTTGGACTTCGTGAAAGATTTCCAGGAATATCTGACTCAGCAGACTCATCATGTGAACATGATTTCTGGATCAGTTAGTGGGGACAAAGAAGCAGAGGCTCTTCAGGGAGGTAGACTCATCTTAATACTATTAAATAGTTCATTTTCCATAAATATATTAATACTTGTGTGTAGTTATCCATATGGTAAAGACCACTATTCACTAATGTGAATCATTCCATTTTTACTTAGAAAGACACAGGGCAATTTGTTTTCCTTTTTAAACGTGTCAGATTTTTGTTGAGGGAGAATGAAACTTCCCAAGGGCCTAACATAGTCTAGAGAGGCATTATGGTATTGTTGGAAGGTTAGGAATTCTAAATATCCTTCCCATCTTCTAAGTTCTATTAGCTAACAGTAGACCCAAGGAACCCAATGGGGGTAGAGAGCATCAGCTTCACTACACAGAGGATTTGGCCAGTGAGAAATTTGGATTAGACCAGAAACACAATAGGGGTTTCTTTTTCTTCTCTCTTGAAATGAAGAAAGGGCTGACCATGTTTACTTCTCTAGACAGAGAACCAGAATAGGGAAAGCAGTGATCCTCTTGAGCCTGCCACAGATAGACTTTTGTCTGGTTTGCTTACCACACAGACTGTAATCTGTTCCTGAACGTAGCTCAGGGGTCAACAGACTACAGCCCGTGGGCCCCATCTGGACTGCGAATTGTTTTTGTATGACCTGCAGACTAAGAGTGATTTCTACATTTAAAAATGGTTGGGGAAAAAAAAAATCAAAAGAATAATATGTACAAATTATATGAAATTCAGACTTCAGCATCCATAAAGTTTTATTGAAACATAGCCACACTTGCTTGTTTGCATATTTCCTAGAGCTGTTTTTGTGCTATAACAGTGGAGCCGAGTAGATCTGGTAGAGAACAGATGGCCCACAAAGCCTAAGGTATTTAGTATCTTATCATCATGGGAAAAGTTTGCTGACCCCTGATGTAGATAGTCTGTGGCCTTGTTGTCCAGGAACTAGCAGCGGAGACCAGGCATCACCTGGGAGCTTGTTAGAAGTGTAAATTGTCAGTCCCCACCGCAGATCTACTGATTCAGGATCTGTGTTTTAATAAGTTCCCCACATGATTAATATACACATTGAATTTTGAGAGTCACTGGCTTGGGAGAGAAATCGAAGATGGGGACACCGAGCCTTGTCCCTTCAATGTAGTGGCACCATTGGATATTGGATTTGCACCAACCAGTAAAATCACTTGTCTTCTCCTGGTGAAGCGGGGGAGGAAACCGTGGAGGAGGGGCTTGACTTGTTCATACTAGTACTGCTATTTCCTGGGGATAGGGTAGAAGTGTTTTTCCCAAGAAGTTGTAGGAATAAAAATGTCCCTCCTAAAACTCTAGTCTACAGATTCCTGGACTGGGATTCAAGAGACCAGGGTTGTAGTCCCCACTGCTTGCTGGTTTTCCTGATATGAGCACTTGCTCCTTCAATTTCTTTATAGATACAAAGAAGTAGTTGGGTTAAATTAAAAGCAAAGGGCTAGACAGATACCTTATAGCTTTCAAATTCTTACAGTTCTAACATTCAGAGGTATCAGATATAGTATCTTCCTTTATGTGCCTAGTTAGAATTTTAAGATCTTAAATGCATCCCAGAATCTAGACTATGTATAAACCAAATAAAACAGGGCAAAACTCAACATTAATTGCTTTAGACGACAGTAAACTGAGTCAGGATTTGGGGAAATTATCATGACTGCCAATTATAATACTTGTAGAAGTGGCTAGGATCTTAAACGTGTATTGCCTTGCCATTACTGTTTACTCCCCTCTGTTCTCCAGACCTGTCAAATAAGGATAATACCCTATTCTCTTCTTCAAAAGTATGTTGAGGACTGATGAAATTTATGTGTAAGTAATTTGAAGTCCCCCTATAAAAGGTTCTCAACGGAATACTGCTTTTGTATGAAATTAACCTCTGTTCAGAAAGTCTGTATTTTCTGAGTTAGGTTTTGTGCTAAGTAAGCTGTCAATTTATGAAAGATTGTCTACCACTGAAGACTAAAATGCTAAATTGAGTTGATTCTGAGATGCATAATTTTTTTGCTACACTTTGTTTATAGCTGGAACAGATGGTGATCAGAATGGACTTGATCACCCATCTGTTGAAGTTTCCCTGGATGAAAACTCAGGAATGTTAGTAGACGGGTTTGAAAGGACCTTTGATGGGAAGCTCAAGTGTCGGTACTGCAACTATGCCAGCAAAGGAACAGCCCGGCTTATCGAACATATTCGAATCCACACAGGTAATGGCGAAATGGCTGGAGAAGGCATTTCTTTGGGGGCAGGAGAGGGGCCAAGGAAGGCAAGTTGTTCTGATGTGTAGTAGTTCTGATAGTTTAAAATTGAAGGTTGATATGTAAGGTATGAATAAATGGAGAAGTTACTCCATTTTCCCAAAACATTGGCATAACAAGATACAAATGGGAAGTAAGGCCCCTTCTAGAGCTCCCCCTTCCTTAGCCATCTTTCGTCTTGATCCACATCCTCTCTCACCATCTGTCTGCTTCTAAGGCTGGGCAGGTTAATGCTGAAGGTAGTGTGAAGTGATAAAATGTTTTTATCTTTATCCTTCTAAGTATGTTTCAGTTGCCGACCAGGGACAAGGCTTTTATACAGTTGCAGACTGCACTGCTAATCCTTAGGGCTCACCTTAGCCCTCCCACCTTCTGAGAAGCCCTCTTGACTATGCCCTGCCCTGGCCCAAGACCTGGTCAGGCGTCCCACTCGTGTGCCCGTGGGGTCTCATGCTGTGTCTGAGGATGAGGCTCCTGTCAGGGCCAGGTTTGTGCCTGCAGAGCCTAACAGAGCGTCGGACACATAGTAGGGACTCAGTACTTACTTGTTACATTAATGACTCCAAATATTTATTTTACATATTTGCGCCGTTTTCAGCTAACGGCACTGACTACAGTTGTCCCTTTTGGCAACTGAAGAGGAGAGGAGGAAGGTAGAGGTGAAGCACTGGCCATTTTGAAGGAACACTTTGCATAATTCATATTTGGATTGGGAAGCTCATTTCCCTTTTGAGCTTTCTATTTAATAGAAGGACTTTTTAGAAAAGTTTTTCTGTATTTTTTCCTGAGGAAGGGGTATTTGTGTGTGAATATGTATGAAGAAGTGTTCATGTATGGATGTGCTCATAAACATATAACTGACGCATACTTTTGATAAAATCATTATTATGTAGGGAATATTATTGTCAGTTTTGCTACTCTTTCCCCAGATGCCAGTCGAAGCCATAACAATTTCTACACTATACTAATAGAACATATCTATAGATCTCAAGTTGTTGCTGATGAGTTAAGGCTTTAAGTTGACAGGTTTCTTTGCAAAGAAACCTGATCAGTTTCTAAGTCTAATGAATGGACAACACACGAAACTTTCCATAAATGAGCTACTCTTGAAGTTTCTCCCCCATTTTTCTTTTTAAACAGGTGAGAAACCTCATAGATGTCACTTATGCCCATTTGCATCTGCTTATGAGCGACATCTGGAAGCCCACATGCGTTCCCATACCGGAGAAAAACCATACAAATGTGAATTATGTTCCTTCCGCTGCAGTGATCGAAGTAACCTGTCCCATCATCGAAGGCGCAAGCATAAAATGGTACCAATTAAAGGTACTAGGTCTTCCTTAAGCAGCAAGAAAATGTGGGGAGTTTTACAGAAGAAAACAAGCAATCTGGGCTATAGCAGAAGAGCATTAATCAATTTAAGTCCACCTTCCATGGTGGTTCAGAAGCCAGACTACCTTAACGATTTTACCCATGAAATCCCAAATATCCAGACTGACTCCTATGAAAGTATGGCAAAAACCACATCAACTGGTGGCCTACCAAGGGACCCGCAAGAACTCATGGTTGACAACCCTTTAAATCAGCTCTCAACCCTGGCAGGACAGCTGTCTAGTTTGCCACCGGAAAACCAAAACCCTGCCTCTCCTGATGTAGTTCCCTGCCCTGACGAGAAGCCTTTCATGATGCAGCAGCCGTCTGCCCAAGCAGTGGCTGCTGCCGTGTCCGCGAGTATTCCCCAGAGCGCCTCTCCCACGAGCCCGGAACCTCGGCCGTCACACAGTCAGAGGAACTACAGTCCGGTGGCAGGTCCGAGCAGTGAACCAAGTGCCCACACGAGTACTCCCAGCATGGGAAACAGCCAGCCGAGCACTCCAGCCCCGACCCTCCCGGTCCAGGACCCGCAGCTTCTGCACCACTGCCAGCACTGTGACATGTACTTTGCCGACAATATCCTTTACACGATTCATATGGGATGTCATGGGTATGAAAATCCTTTTCAGTGTAACATATGTGGTTGCAAATGTAAAAACAAGTACGATTTTGCCTGTCATTTTGCAAGGGGACAGCATAACCAACACTGACGGAAAACAGTCACAGTATGCTTTACTTGGTTTTACCTTTGGGGGTTTTATAGTTTTGTTTATTGTTTTGTTTTGTTTTTTCCAGGGGGGTGTCATTCCTAATAAGGTGTCTGCTAACTTAAAGTCTATATATTTATAGAATATAAGTTTGACGGTGGAAATAAAAAAAATTTTTTTTTTCTATAGAGATCTGGTCAGGCTCATTTATGTATTAGAGCAGTGAGACACGTTGGTGTCTGTTTTTTCCTTTCACTTCGACAGTTGAGAATTGGAGTGCAATCATAATCCTAACAGGTATTGACTTAAATTTCCCATACTTACGGTCCATAAACACTTCAGAGCTTACTGATACTCTTGTATTTCAACATATACATTCAGCTAGATATTACTTCTGCCATATTTCAACATGGTAGAATTACTGTCTCTTACAAAGTCTATGACAGTTTATTTCAGTGTTTAGTAGAGGAATTGCCTTTAACCTCGTTCTTTGTCAGCGCGCTGTTTCATTCACATTGCTGAATGTTCACAGTACTTTCATTTCACCTGATAATCACAGAGCTATTTAGTGTAGCAGATCCTTCTTTTTTTTTTTTTTCCTTAAGGGGAAATGTAAAACAGGTCATTCTTTTTAAATCCAAGTTATAAAAATAAGAGGCAAAAGTTCTGAAAAGAAATGAAACCTAAATTGAAAAATGGGTTTAATACTTAAAATACCTGTTTGTTCAATTTCTAGTTTAAATGTGTGTCAGTTTTCCATTGGATTCTGTTTATTCTGGTTTATTGTAAAAACCACATGAAATGCTAGAAATATCAGAGGATTATCTCTAAAGATGCCTTTTTTTTCTTTTAATTTGAACCTTTCATTTAAATTCTTCACGCTGACGTTATTAGTGTCAGGTGCGGTTGATAAGTATACTGAGAATCTGTTATTCCTCCTATTCCTTTGATGACCAAAGAGGTACAGTGGTGGTAGTCATCCATCTTATTCCTTGGAAATGCAGTCCTTCAAAAGAAAAAAAAAATCTCTTAAGTTTCCATTTCCTGCCTTCTATCCATTTACTGCCTGTAATTTCCAAGAAGAGGTGGGTATAGAAACACATGGGAAAATAGGATGGTGAAGTAATACGTAAAAAAATGAGAACGTGTGTCCAAAACAAATTCTGGTTTTCCCTTCAGAATTGGCCATTTAAAATATTTTCTGTGAATTCAGCTTGTAACGCTTATTTGCAGTTCTGCCAGTTTTTCATGGATAGTGACAAAACTAGAGACTGACTGAATCGTCGCCTTAGTAGGAAAGGGTACAAAAGTGGGAAAATAGTTATAAAATGCATTTAAATGTGATATTTAATTTGTTTACAAAAATATGACTTGCTAAATCTAGAATAATTTTGAATAGGAGGCTGTTGTTTTTATATTGTGTAATAACTAGCTCACTCTAAGAGAGCTTGGTCAAACAATAAAATATATTGTTACTAACTGTTGGTTTCTGTGTACTTTGGAAAAGTTTCATTTTTAATTTGGTTCAAATCTTGAAAGTGTTGCTAATTGGCTTCTTAAAGAGAATACCCTAACTATGAAGCATTTATGAAGCAAAAAGGACTTACACTCTTCTATAGCAAATAAGGGAAATGTTGATGATAGGCGTTCACCAAAACCCCCACATGCCAAGTTAATGGATCTTCTGCCCTTCTTTCCAAATGCTAGAGAGCCATTAAAATGAGTTCTCGTGGTTTAATATCCAGTCAAAACTAACCTCAACAGCATTGTTCAAAGAGCAGCAAAGAGTCTGTCGAAACTATAAATAACTCTCTCCTTGTCAAATCTGAGGCTTCTGAATATACAGTTGTGTTTCTCTTGTTTAAGTCACTCATTGCTCAGATCAGCTTGAATGCAACCATTTCCAAATGTGGAACTTGGCTCTAGTATTTATTTATTGCCAGAAAGAAACAGGTTGCTGTCATTTGGAAGGTTTTGTAATTATTTTCTTCCTTCTCACTTTTATTCTTCACATAAAAGCAATATCCCAAGATAGAAAATGAAAGCTTTCATTAAAGAGAAAGAACCCTCTTGTTAAAACCAGTTTATTAACTCTATATTCTGGGCCAAATAGTGACACTTTTTTTCTGGCAACTAAAGATAGATGTTTTGAAGGTACATTTTAATTTAAACAAAGTATCTTTTTTTTCATAATTTTAACTAGAATGTATAATTCTAATTTTCCTATGACTTAAAAGAGCACAGTTGGTATTCCAAAGGTGTCCATGCTTGAGAGCTACAATTAATTCTAAATGCACTAAAGTTTTTGAATCAAATCTACCTTATAAACTTTTTTAGTATTGTATTTTTTAAAAGATTTAGGATTTTATTTAAATTTTCTGTGAGTTAAATTTTATACATGGGAAGATGATACTATCTTCCATTAAGTGTTGAATACGTTTCTCCCATTTTATTTTTAATCAAATATTTTATAGAAATGAGCTGCTAGGAAAAGTTGAACATGAACTATTTATAGTACTTTGCTGTTAAGAGGCAATGTTCTGAAACTAAATGTATTTTTGTTCAGTGAACATAAGTTTAGATTTTTAAAGTTGGTAGATAATTTATCTCCACTAATATTTTTTTAAGAAACTGTGAAGAGATTAACAGGGAATAATTTCATTTCAGATTTTACTAATATGTAGCTACAACTTCTTGAAATTCAAGTAAAGGCTAGGCTTTTACTTTGAATATTTTCCAGTGCTATTTCATTTTAGAAATAAGTGTTTGCCATTCATCTGCAGAATTGTTTGACAAAGGGAATATTACTTAAGAAATGTTGGATAAACCTCATTTTAAGTTCTACAAAAATATTTATCAAGTGGATGTATTATTTAAAAAAAAAAAAAAATTCCCTGCTAAGGACTTTTTCATTAAATAGTCTTAGAGGGTATATGATTTCTAGAACTTGTTTTTGTTAATATGTACTTTGATGTAAAGAACATATTTTGTATGCAAAACATAAAACTTGAGTATGGTTGCAAAACACTATATTGTCTAGGGATTCCAGAGAGCAGTTCAATGCTGAAATAACTATATCTAGTCTGTAGTTCCTATTGTGAATGAAGCTTTGCTTTTGTAATACATGAATAAAAATAATAACACTTTCTATTGATCTCGATTTTTCTTCTTTAAAAACTAGGATCCAGTTTTTTAGTAATTTTCCAGTATGTAAACTGTTAATAAATTTAAAAAAAGAAGGTTTTATGGCTACATTGGTTTGACTCTGTAGAATGCCTTACCCATGAGAAGATTGGTCACATGAGTTAAAGACAAAAACGGCTCCATGCATCCACATCTTGTCTCCTTCCTTGTCTTTCTGCTTTCCTGAGGAACCATTCAATAAGACCCCTGTCCCCACCATCCCCGCCCTCAGGGTTTGGCACATAAATGAGGATGCCTGCCTGCCTGCCTCTGATGCCTAATTATCCATGTCATGTCTGGCAATCCATGTCATGTCTGGCAAGTGGCTGACTGAGGTTATTTCTGTTATGACAAACGGATCTTTAGAATGGACTGTTGCTTTTTTAAATTTATTTTTATTTATTTATTTTTTTAAGATTTTATTTATTTTTTTGACAGACAGCAAGAGAGGGAACACAAGCAAGGGGGAGTGGGAGAGGGGGAAGCAGGCTTCCCGCAGAGCAGGGAGCCCAATGCGGGGCTCGATCCCAGGACACCTGAGCCAAAGGCAGACGCTTAACAACTGAGCCACCCAGGTGCTCCCTGCTGCTTTTTTTTAAATAAGTCTTTGGCAATTCCCATCACTGGGAGAGAAAACGTCCAGTAACACAAAATTGTTTTAGTTCGCAAAATCTTAACCAATATCAGACATTTGATCGGAAGTTCAGAAGTTTTAATGCGGCTTTGAAAAATATTTCTGGACAATGTTGTCTTTCTTATAATGAAAAAAAGAAATAACATCTGATATGTGGATGGTTTGTTGAGAGCACAGGTATTTTTTGTTTCCATGTCGTAGGTCCTCCAAAAACTCGGCTTTGAGCTTGTTGAGTTCTTCTGCTAGAAGCTTCAAGTTGAAAGGAAGCACTTGTTCATCTAAAATGAAAAGATACTCTCAAAATTATTTGTGTAAACTAAATCAAGTTGGGCTGTCTGATAACATCAGGAAATGAATTTGAATACTTGACACAAACCAATCAGATTATTCTGTTAATAATCACAGTCGAGTAGGTGTACTATAGAAACAAAGGTCCCATTCATGTGATAGCAAACAAATCTTTTCAAGACCTGGCTATGAAATGCGTGAGCAGAAAAGATAAGCCTGAAAAGGATTTTCGTTGTTGACAAGATAGTTGATTTAGAACCTTCTTGAACTAACAGGTAGTAAGGCAAAAAAGCAGAACTAGGAAATGACAATTTGGTTTGAAACTGATAAATCTCTAGAGCAGTTGTCTAATCTATAACTTCCTACAGTGATGAAAATGTTCTGTCCTACTCAACTCAGCAGCCACCAGCCATGTGGGTAATGTGACTGAAACAAAACTGCTTTGTTATTAAACAGCTTTACAGAAAACTGGCACACCATACACTCTATTCATTTAAACTACGATTCAGTATACTTGCAGGTACGTGCACCTATCCCCACAGTCCATTTGAGAACATCTCATCGTCTCAGAAACGTGCGTCCATTAGCTCCCACCCTCCTACCCCAGCCTCCACCCCACTCTAAATCCCTAAGCAACCACTAATGTACTAATGGGGCTCTAGATTTCCCCCTTCTGGGCATTTCACAGGAGGGGACTCAAGCAACGCGGCTTTTTGCGATGGCTTCTTTCACTCTGCATACTGTTTTCAAGGTTCATCCTGGCTACTAGGAATAATGCTGACACAAATCTTTGTGTACACATATTTATATGAACATGTGTTCTCAATTCTCTTGAGCAGATACGTAGGAGTGGGATGGCTGGGTCCCCTGGTAACTCCGTTTAATCGTTTGAGGAACTGCTCGGCTGTTTGCCAAAGCAGCTGCACCATAGCCAGCAGCAGTGGACGAGGGTTTGCATTTCTCCACATCCTCACCACCGCTTGCACTTGTTGATTCTGGCTGGCCTAGTGGGTGTGCAGTGGGATCTCGTGGTTTTCATTTGCATTTCCCCGAGGACTACGGATACGTGTATTTTCTTATGGTTTGGCCATTGAGATGGAGAAATGTCTATTCAGACCCTCTGCCCATTTTTAAAATTGGATTGTCTTTATTGCTGAGTGGTAACAGTCCTTTACCTCTTTTGGATACAAGTCTCTCATGATCTCCAAGTGTTCTTCCCTGATACGTAGGCTGTCTTTTCACTTTCTTGATGGTAGGAGAAATGAATTTCTAATTTCATTTAAGTATGGACCTAGAAGCTAGTAGCACCGCCCTCACCTAAATAAATAAGTAAATGTGTATTGTAATGGGTGGGAAATGAGTCAAGAGGGATTTGGGCATAATCCTATTCCCCCTTCGCCCCTTCTCTTCATTTTATATAGAAGGCAAGAAAGGCAAATGGTTGAGAGAGAACTCCTGCAACTATCTTTCTCTATCCTAATTATGCTGCTGTTTGTTCCAGGCCTTTGGTTTTCAAACTTTGGACTGTAACCTACCGTGAGATGTAAGCTGCAAGCAGCGTTTTTCTAACATGAAATCAAACAGAACATAGTAGAGCCCACTACACATGTGAGGGTTTTGTGAAACTTGTTGCTACACACGCATGTGTTCGTGTACTGGGCTACACCCTAGGGTACAAGATAAAATCTGCTTATGGATTGTATGAAAAACACCATATGGTTAGTGTACTGTTTGCTTTCCCAACAGTTCTAAGCTTTTGTAAAGGTATTAATGATCAATGCTGGTGATGTGGGGAGCCTAAAAGAAAGCACGCACTGGAGTCAGACTTGACTCTGAACCCAGGCTGTCCAAGCATCTCGTAGCTGTTCAGCCTTGCACCAGTTACTTGATCCTCCCAGAACCTTCATGTCCCTATCTGTAAAACTACACTCACCTCATGGGGCTGTAAAGACTGGCAACACTGAGCACATAAAAGCTCAAGAAATGTTAAGCTAACGATAGTTTTTAAATCAAAATTTAAATAAAGCAAGGAGTTCAATATTTAAAATCTGAAGGAGTTATTTTCTAGAACTAGCACATACTCCATTCAAGTTCAGACAGACAACACACTGAGCTTGCCGATTTGACATGTGGCCCTTGACCACCTCTCTTCGTTCCTTACTTCACCCGACTTAATTGCCACTTTTCTGCTCTAGAACCTACCAGACAACTTCACCTCTGGGCTTCTGCATTTGTGGCCAGTGCCTGGAACGATCTACTATCAGATGACTGCATGTTTGCTCTTTCTGTTCATTCATATCTCGGCTTAAATGTCATCGCTGAGAAGCCTTCCAGACTACCCTTTAAAAAGAAGCTCTCCCATCACTCTACATTGCCTTTCCCTATTTTATTTTTCTTCAGGGCACCAGCAGATACTCATGTGCTTGTCTGTCTGTCCGTCTGCTCAGTATAACATTCTGCTCCCTTCTGATGCCCCAGTATCTAGAATAAAGCCTAGTACAGAGTCACCACTCAATAAAAATGTATTGGATGGATGAATACCCTGTTCTAGGGGTAGAATTTTTAGTTTTTATATAACCACGTTGCATACTGAAACTGAAAACATGATGTAAACGTTAGGACTGAAAGCTAATAAACTACCCAAAGTGTCAAGGAGACAGGAATAGCAGCAAAGTCATATCAACTAAACCCCATTCAACTACCCAACATACCTTTTGCTTCCTTCATCGTCTGAGAGACAATCCTTCGGAGCGTCTGGTCAGCTTGATGCAGAACGTTAGTTGAACAAATAATTCTGTCTGATTCCTATGTAACACAGACATCGTTATTGGAAGTTTTAGAAAAGGACGGCTAAAGTGTGACACGTATTTGATAAGATGAAAAGGAAAGTGAAGATGGTTTTTCTGTTCCAGTTGTCCTTCCCTAGAAGATGGGTCCCATCTAGATAGCGGCTGCTGGTAAATGTCTAGTAACAGGCTCTCCAGAAACAAGACAAACACAACCTGTTTCCAGTGTTTGTCAATGTCTCTGGTGCATGTATTCCTGTCCTTGCCCATTTCAAGTTACCAACGCCAATATAATGGCGACAGGCTCCAACATTTCTGAGAGTTTGACAACTGGCTCCGACCAGCTGACGCACCACCGCAGCCAGGAGTCAGAAGCTGAGAGCTGCCAGGACGCCACGGCAGTGACAGCATTTTCCACATTTTACTCAGAGTTTACACTCAGCTCAAAAAGACATTCATTCCTTCGGAAAGCGGTGCCTTCCCATGTATACTAAATCTATACTGGAAGATTTACCTTTTGTTCCACATTGTCCTCAATATATTTTACTGGATTTTCCAAAGCAGTAAGCAATAAATCAGTCAACTTCAGGCTATGAGAGAAGGGGAGATAAAATAAATCCTTATATCAAACATCTTTTTTTAAAAGAACTGGTGTTTATGAATACTAAATTGAATTCTAGAGGAATAAATGTGCTATAACCCCAAGATCCTAAGCCAAAGGGGAAACGCGAAATGATTTGGAAGCTACTTTCTACTTGCAAAATCTAAAAGTAGAAGCCCAAAACAAATTATAAGGCAAAAGAATCCCCTTATTTAAAAAATATTAATTTCCTAAAACATTTCAATAAGCTTTCGAAAGACATCCTCTCTTGTCCCTCATTAAGTGCTAAACTTTAGGCTACTACAGCTCTATTTTATTCTCTAAAGAAGGATACTTGGTCTGTACTTTCTGGCTTCTGCTTGTTTACTGGATGTAGGTTAGCGAAGTTATTCACTGGTCAAGGGGCCACGGAGTGCTGAGGCAGAATTCATTCATTTAACAAGATTTTATTGAGTATCTTCTTATATGAAAAATATACAACCATGTATGTGAGACTATGTGCTAAGCTGGAGGGGGGGGTACAGTGAAATCCCTATCCTCTCTAAGCCTGGTAATGATTCCATTGTCTGTCTCAATAATTAAGCAAAAAATTATAATTTTAGATAGTGACAAGTGTTTGAGTAAAGACCATAAACAAAGTGATGGTGTTAAGAGAGTGACTGCTTAGTCCAATGAACACTCCTCACATTAGTTAGGATGGTCAGGAAAGTCAATCAAGCATAAATAAGTGGGGAGGGTAGAGGGGACAGCAAGTACAAAGGCCCTGAGGCAAGAAAAAGCTCCTCCTGTTCATGGAACAAAGGCCAGTTTGGTTGACAAGCAGCAACGGGGGGAAAGTAGCAGGATATGAGGTTGCAAAGTTAACTGGGTTAGAACACGTAATTTATGGTGAGGAGTTTAAATTCTACTCAGAGTGCAGAGCGTGGCACTGAAGCAATTTAGGCCAGTGTGAGTTAAATTTCAACCTCAAGATGATCTTTCTCACGCTGGAAAGAGCCAGGTTCTGGAGTGAGTGAGACTGCACTGGGTCCAAACCTTGGGTCTGCCACTTACTACCTGGATGTGTTACCTTACTTACCTGGGCCAGTTACCGCATCTATAAAATGGGGATAATCTATTTATCCTCAAGAGTTGTTTGTGAGGATTGAATGAGATTAAACATATGACGTGTTCAGAACATGCCCGATACATAGTATCTGCTGTTGCTCTGAGTAGTAACACTATTAGCCGTAATGGTGGATACATAGTAGTATCTTACGAAAGCCTGGAGAAGGTACATTTGTCAGATCATCTTTCAACTTCCAATACAGGGCCACCAGGTTTCAAACAACCCCTTCACTGATGCTGTAACTATTCTGGACCTGTGAGAACAGGCGGCCAGGTTCTGAAGACCCAAGACAAAACAGATTATGCTGTGTTGGCAACAGCATGGGAGAAACTCACACTCTTCCTTGCTTTTAGGAAGAACTGGCCCTCACTGGTCTCAAAGCATTGATAACATTAGGCCATTCTCACGGGATAGATATCTTGATGCCTCAACCAGCCATTCAACTTCCAAAGGAAAAAATTTTAAGTGTTCCGGAATGAGTAGCAATCAGCTGGTTATGGGCCTGCTCAAAATTTCAGGATATTAAAAGTTAAAATTAGAAACCTCAGCAGTAGCTCATTTCATAAACCCTATAAACAATAGTCTCTTAAATCCATTTTTTTTTTTTTAGTATATTCAAGTATATATTATGAAATGCATGGAAAACTGTATCTTGGGAACCAAACATTTTGAGGAATAAATTTTAAAAATTAGCGTTTTAAAAACTGCTGATCCAGGGCGCCTGGGTGGCTCAGTCGTTAAGCGTCTGCCTTCTGCTCAGGTCATGATCCCAGGGTCCTGGGATCGAGCCCCACGTTGAGCCCCTTGCTCAGTGGGGAGTCTGCTTCTCCCTCTCCCTCCGCCTGCCGCTCCCACCACTCATGCTCTTTCTCTCTCTCTCTCCTCTCTCTCGTCTTTAAAAAAAGTAAAAAAAATAAAAACTCCTGACCCCCTGTGGACAACAGCTAGGCAGGGGCTGAGGAAATGTAGGCAATAGAGCTCTAGAACTCTGCTATGATACGATAACCACTAGCCACAGGAGGTTATTTAAGTTTAAAGCAATTAAAATAAAATTTAAAATTCGGGCCATCAGAGGCGCTGTCTGTTTCAAGAGCTCAGCAGCCACTCCACTGGACAGTGCAGAGGACATTCCCGTCATCCGTGAAAATTCCATCACAAATGTGCTGCCGCAGAACTCTCGAGACACAGATCATGAACGGAAGCATTAGCACCACAGCCCCCGAGCCTCCCACACACGCAGCGGTGCAACAATAGGGAGGTTGAAGGCAAAATTCCGACTCGGCCACTTCCACCCTTTTTCTTTCTAGAAGAAGATTACTGGGCAACCTCTTTAGACTGTGTTACTTGAGCAAGAGTTTCAAAGATGCACCCTAGTCTGCATTCCCTGTGCGGATCTCTTGCGACAACACAGTCTTAACGAGAGTACACGTTTGCACGCACACATCTCCGCTGCCACAAGCTCGACGGCTCTGGGCAAACAAACTTTCTCACTCGGTTGCCTCTTCTCCGTAAAGGGAAGGTAACAATCTCTCTCTAAGGCTTGTGTAGGGATTAACCGAGTGGACATGAGTCAAGCAAGGAGCACTGTGCCCGGCTCAGGGAGGTACCCGGTGAAGGTCGGCTTCGCGTGGGATACCTGGCCTCAGAAGAGCACGGGGTACTCTGAATTGTGAGGCTGTTGTGTTCCCAAGCATTTTTCCCAGGGTTGGGCTTCTCTATCTTTCTTGCCATCAGGTGAATGGTCTCGGTAGGCAGTGGCCGGCATCTCTGGCCATTCCTCTGTAAACAGGTCTCGAGAGAACAATCTAAAAAGAGCTGGCAAAAGCCTAATGAATCTGAAAACATAACATTAAACCACAGAATTACTGGTGCACTGTTTTTTTCCAAAATGTGACATAAACAAATTAGACAAATTATCCCGGCTGCAGCAGGAAAAACCATTTGCAGTGCTGAACATCTAGCTTTGAGAATTAAGTAAATCAATACTAAATTCCCGATCCAATTAAATTCTAAGAACAGTAGTGATTTTGATATGCAAACAAATGTCTGTAAGAAAAAAAATATTTGAATTACATTTCCGAGCCAGTTGGTAGACTTCGTATCTCATACTTTGATAATAAAAGTTGTCATCTAAAATCAAAAACAAAGGTCTAGAAACAGCAATCTTCGTTAAGAGGTAGCAAGACTGGGTGTCCAGCGCAGCAGAAGATATCAGATCTTGATCCTTTAAGCAGCTTATAAAATCCTCCCACAGGGCTGCAGTCCTGTTGGGTGGGACAGACATCTGACACCCGTTAATGACAGCCATCAAGAAGTATTCTAGGTACTTCAACAGTTCCTGTCGAAGCAATTTCCATTGGGATGGCTACAAAAGACGGAAGAATTACAATTTACATTAGGTTCTGGCCAGTAGGGTGGTCACGATTAATTGCCACCCGCCGTACAGGGACATTTCAGCTCACAGCGCTAAACCATTTGGAATTCTCTGAGCACAACTTCTTCTGTCATGCCTCCGTATCTCCGTGTATATATGGTTTTCTCTGCCCAGAAACTCCTACTCACTGATGTTAGTCCTCTGAAGTCTCCTCAGACTCAACCACGCAGCGGGCAGCTCATACCCTCCCTTGCCTACGTGACATCCTGCTCTGCATATAGCGGGTCTCTACTCTAGCAGAGGGTGTAGGCATTTGTTTGCACATCTCTATTTCTCTGCTAGATCAATCGTCCGTCCACTGTTACCCTCCAGGAGAAATGAGGAGCCAAAATCAATATCCTGCCGAAATAAAATAGTTTGGCTTAGATATACCTATGCTGGTTTGCCCTTGAAATGAGAAAAGTTGTGGACAGAAAAGATCAGCTGAAAGATGCCTGGGTCAAGATGAAAAGACTTCAGGCTTTGGGGATGGGGAATGACCGAGAAGGTAGACTGAAGGAAAGAGAATAACTTGAGAATACAGGTAATCTTGTGCTGCTCAAGCACTGTGGACAGCAGGGACAGAGTTATGAGGTCCAGGCTGGAGAGAACACATAGGAACACGAGATAAGGATCCCTCTCCCGCCTGTCCATGCCCTGCCACATCACTGAGATTACAACACATGTAACAAATACATCACCTAAACCTACTAAAAAGGAAACAAGATCACTTCCTAGAAGGTGAGTTTCCTACCCATGGTGACTAGGTGAGTCCCGTGGCCTTCGTCTGTAGGGAGGAGTGGAAAAAATGTAATAAAAGTGAGGAAAAAGCCCAGCAAATAACGATTCCTATCAACAACTTTCAGCTTTCACTCAAGTGGTGAAAATACTATCATCCAACTAAATCTAGTGCTACCAGGGACTTGATACCGCATTTACCTCACAATGAAACAAGAATAAGGAAGTATATATAATTTTGCTGGAGCAGTCCAAAATGTTTCCATCCACCAAATGAACCGTATTTGTACATACATATTTACAGAGTGGAATCACATCATACTTGCACGTTATTTAGGTGCATCCATCTACACTAGGGTATTAAACGACAAATATATTTCAGTTTTTCAGAATCTGTCATGTCAAAGAGGATTTGGTCTAGAGTGAGAAGGAGATGGGTGACATGACTCTCCCCTCAGAGATCTGTTTTCATACGCTTCTCCACGGGGATGCATCTCGCTGTGCTGAGTGTGATTTGAAGGCTTAAAGGGAAGTGTGTACTTGGAACATACAAGCTGGTCACTAAACAGAAGCCCATTACTTCATCTGGTGGTCAACTAAGAAACAACCATCTTTTCCTATGCTGGCAGAGGAAGATTTAGCCTGAGATGAATGAAGAGTGAGCTTCAGAGGCCAGGCCCTTCATTTTACAGCCACTCTCTATTACCATGGGAGGGACTCTAGGAATTTTGTTATTTATAATTCTGTATCCTTTTACTTAAAAAACTTTCCGCAAATTGTATAAACTTAAAGATCCACAAAGATTCGCCCATGGCTGGATGTTAAACCGGCTGTGTTGAAATTTTTAAGAGATTCCGCCCCTTCCTAAGAATACTCTTCCTAAAGGATTTTTCAAGAGCATTCCTGACCAGGGGGGGTGGGGGTTCCATCTTCACGCTGACATAACCTAAAGCTGTCTTAAGCCTCACTCTATAGAAGATACAATACTTACATGCCCCAAATAGACATATAAATCTCTACAATGAATCACTTTAAGATGGCGTCAACATATTCTGTATTAAGCCAACTCCACTCTTCTCGAACCCCGGTCTCTCCCCCTCCGTCAGGGACGCACCTCCCACACCAGGTGTAGTCCAGCATTTAGTGGGAGCCCCTTCGTTTCCTTCCAAGACAGGGGTCTAGGCCCCGCCCCTTCCGTACTGACCAATGGCCGCGCGCTCGCCTCCTCCAGGAACGCGTCCGGCATGACGTCATCATAGGTGACGACGCCGACGGCCCAGCCCCGCTCCTGCCGTAGCCGGTGGCTGAGGGCCCGCGCCAAGGTCGATTTTCCTGCTGCCGGGAGGCCGCAGAGAAGGCAGAGGCCTATCTCCCGCGGTCCCTCGCTGCGCGCTCCTCTGGCGTCCTCGGCGGTCTTCATGCTGGCGCCGGAGCCGGAAGGCGGCTGGGAACGCCGTCTCCGGAACCGTCCGCCCAGCGCGCACGCGCAGTCTGCCGCAGCTGCTGCGCCGCCTGGGGCCGGGAGGGAACGGCGGGCGCGTCTTCCAATCCCGACACGGTGCGCGGCCCGGCGGTCTCCGAGATCTCCCCGTGGTCACCGGAACGGCTGGTGCCGAGCTCTTTGTGGGGCGAGTCCTCAAGGCTGGAGAGACCACGGCGATGCGTTTCCTAACTCCTGGACGTTTCCCAAAGGGTCAGAGAGTTGGACTTAGGTGGTCAGATTTATCCTCCCTGCTGGAAACTTGCAAGCCACTGGGAATTGCACCTCGTTAAGGCGAGGTCCTTGGAAAATCCCAGAACACACTTTGAGCGTCTTCCCCCAGCAGTCTTTGAAAGGTCAATTGCGGTTAGAATATATGGCGAAGTTGACAGTCCGACGCCCGAGCTCCGTTGCCCCTCCTAAATGTGACAGGTGGAGGGCAAAGTAAATATTAGGTACTGCGCCCTGAGCTGCAGCAAGTGTGAGGAAGTGGAGGCAGGATAGGAACATCCCTAGACCTCCGTTCCAATGTATTCATGCAGAGGACAGTAGGTATTTTAGTGTTAAAAAAGAAATACTAGGCTGTGGGGAGGTATAAAATTCCTTCTATGGGGTTGTGATATGGAGAAGTTGAATTCAGATTCTAACTTTCACCTCAAAGGGGATTACTTCTTAGTCATAAAGTGGTGTGTTCAAAATGTGTGCAAATGAGGTTAGAATCAATAAAAGGGGGCAAAATACAATCAGTAGTGCAACGTTAAATCTGATATAATTTAACTACAGAGCATGTACACATACATTTTCTCTTGAAGGTGAGCCATGAGTTAAGCATACTCTTCATTTCATGACATTTGGTCATTGGTCCAGTGCAAGAACGAGAAAGGTATGTTATCATGCCAATGGGGCAGCAAGCCCAAGGTCCCCAGCTGAAAGGGAGTTTAGGGGTGGTTGCTGAGTCAGAGTGCCCAAAGCTCGAATGGCGTCAGCAATGAAGATACAGAACTTTGGGCAGAAATCTAGTTCATTAATTGAGCCTGAACCGGTAGCTGTTTGGAACTTAAAAGCCTTGCTTACTGACAGTGTGTGTCTCTACCTCCTTTGCCTCCAACCTCAGTTATTTAAGGAAAAAGCTGAGTAGACCAAGAACTTTGGGGAGGGAAACTTTCATTGCTGTTAGATTCTAGTACCCATATTCAGACTGATCTAATCTTTGGTGTCACTGCAGTAGTTACAGGGGGCAACAGATGGGACCAAAAAGCAACCTCATCCTCAAGAGACATTTGTGGCCCATTTTACCTCACATACAAACACATAATTTGAAGGGGCACAGGTCACTCCTATTTAGGATGTTAAACTTGATTTAAATCGCTCCTAGATTGTCACATGGCACTGTAAGTGCAGCTCAATTGTCCTCATTCTGTCCCTTCTGATCCTCAGAAACAAGGAGGCTGGTCAGTAACCATACTGGAACTGTCACTCTGCTTTGAACTTGGGGAGAGACTGCTTGACAGACCTCACCTTCCTAGTTGTCAGTTCTGCCCCTCAGAGCCCTACGCATTGTACGGGACCTTTGCTTTGACTACCACATAGATCGTAGGAGGTGCTCAGCACCCAATTCCAATTTTTGCCTCAGCTAATTGTCCCATGTTGGAGGCTGTTCACTTGTTTCTTCTCACAAGAGCTTTCGATTCACTTTGACTCAGCTGCCTGTTCCAAAAATGTTAAATGTCCTTAAGAGGAACTATATTCATCTGAGAGCAAGTGAACACAAAGAGCAATGTGTTGACTCCTCTGGGTTTAAGTTTCCTGATCTGTATAATGAGTGAAGTCTTCAAAAGGGCACTTAGAAAATCTGAGATTCCACCTTCTGAATCCCCAGTATCTTCAGAAGCAGGTTTCCTCCTCTGGTTAACACTTTTCTGCGAACTCAGCACTCAAGTTCTTCAGTTGCTAACAGAAACTGCTAACAATCTAGCCTGCCAAAGCCCAGATTTCCTTAATCACAGCAATGGTAGTTAAAACCTCACTCCTCACCTCTTTTGCCAATTTCTTTTTTCTTTACTAATTCCTAGAGCTAAGCCCTTTCTAGTCAGATTTTTTAAAATACCTTGACCTGGGGCGCCTGGGTGGCTCAGTGTGTTAAGTGTCAGACTTGCTTTCGGCTCAGGTCATGATCTCAGGGTTGTGGGATTGAGCCCCACTGGGCTCCTCGCTCAGCGGGGAGTGTGCTTGAAGATTTTCTCTCTCCCTCTGCCCCTCCCCCCTCTCAAATAAATAAATAAATCTTTAAAAAAAAAATCTTGACCTGCTTTACCTTAACCCAAACATGGCGTTCCAAGCATGGCATTCACAACCTCTCCAAACTCTCACTTTTCATTACTGAAATAATGAACTAAAACATGTTATTCCATAACCCAGTAGACATTTAGTAAGTGCATGTCCCCTCAGCTGCCACCTCCTCATGGGCCTGTTGAAATGAACTGCCTTTCTTTGCTCTCCAGTGAGGTATTTGTTCATACCCATTTCAAAAACTCCTATAAATTTCAGGCCAGTGTAAAACTTGTGCGCTTACTGGCTCCTTTTCTATACTATCAATATCATTTCCAGTTGAATCATCTTCAAGTCACCAATCTTATCTTCCTATTGATTTTTTAAAAAACCTAACAAAGGTAGCCTAAAATGTGAGCCAGATACTGAAATGTTACCAGACCTTGAACTAATCTTACAATGAACTAATCTTACAATATGTAGTGTTTTTCTGATTTCTCAAAGGCCACTCTGCCCCTGGGATTGTGAGGTGAGTAAATGTGGTATTGTGAAAGTGAGTAAATGACTTACTGTACTGAAAGTGGGTACTTAGACCCAGAATAATCATTGATTTCATTAAGCCTAAGAACCACCAAAGTGGCTGAGAAAAGACCACAGGTGTAAGAAGCAGTTCAGCTAAGATAAAGGAAGATCTGGGGCAACCTCTGATTCATAGTAATAATGATGGAACAGATTTCAATGTCCTGGTTTCTTAAGCTTTCAGAACAACTCTCTTGGAAGAAAACAATTCCAATGAGCTTTCTCACTACTTCCTTACTTCCTATGATTGTTATATATTTTAAATACTTATAAAGATGTTTAAAACAAACTCCTCAACCATCTTAATAAATGAGCTTTATTTTAACACTGTGAAAATTACTCTATGTTTGGTACTGGTGTACCAGATACTGTGTTAAATGCTGGGTAGCCACACATAAATAAAGACATCTCCTGCTGTTAAAAAAAAAAAAAAGCTCATAGTTTATTTGAGGAAAGTGAGAAAACTAAAATGTCCACAGCATTTGGAGATAAATATAACTACCAATTAAGAAAATTTACCTTGGCTGTTCTTGTTATATCATATATAAAAGTACAGCTATCAGAGGTAAAACTGGTATAAGGATTTTATAGTTTCCCCTTATCCTGAAATCCAATATTATAACATATCCCTGGAGGAACATTAATAAACATATCCCCAAATTCTGTAATTTTGCATAAAGATGGGTACTTTTTATAGGAAGAATGCAGTATTCAAAATGAGTTATGAGCATATTATGTAGGATTTTTGATAGGTTACTTCTTCAGAACATGCAAGTGTCACAAAAACAACAAAAAATAGCCAAATACATCTTCCGGTTTATTTAGTTTGGATGCTACTTTCCTCCATTATAAATTTACCAAAAGAAGAGATGGTTCACCCAGAAGCCACTGCTGAGTTCCCAAGAATGTGGGATAAAACAATCCCATTAAATAGGTCCATTACGAAAGTTCATTTTAAGCCAGGTATTCTGAAGCTGGAGTGGATTTTTCCATAGATACCATTTTACTCATGCTGGTTACCTTTTCAATCTACTTTTTACTGGATTCATTCACATTAGTGTACACTACTGTAGATCCAAGCAGAAAAAGTTAATTTTTTTTAAATTATGAAGATAAAACATACAACCAAAATCTCTTTGCAGTTTTCAATAATTTAAGGGAATAAAGCGGTCTTAAAATGAGTGTTTCATGAAAAAGTGCTCAATATCGCTCAGCATCAGGGAAATCCAAATCAAAACCTCAATGAGATACCACCTCACACCAGTCAGAATGGCTAAAATTAACAAGTCAGGAAACGACAGATGTTGGCGGGGATGCGGAGAAAGGGGAACCCTCCTACACTGTTGGTGGGAATGCAAGCTGGTGCAGCCACTCTGGAAAACAGTATGGAGGTTCCTCAAAAAGTTGAAAATAGAGCTCCCATATGATCCAGCAATTGCACTACTGGGTATTTACCCCAAAGATACAAAAGTAGGGATCCGAAGGGGTACGTGCACCCCGATGTTTATAGCAGCAATGTCCACAATAGCCAAACTGTGGAAAGAGCCAAGATGTCCATCGACAGATGAATGGATAAAGAAGATGTGGTATATATATACAATGGAATATTATGCAGCCATCAAAAGGAATGAGATCTTGCCATTTGCAACGACATGGATGGAACTGGAGGGTATTATGTTGAGTGAAGTAAGTCAAACAGAGAAAGACATGTATCATATGATCTCACTGATATGAGGAATTCTTAATCGCAGGAAACAAACTGAGTGTTGTTGGAGTGGGGGGTGTGGTGGGAGGGATGGGGTGACTGGGTGATAGACACTGGGGAGGGTATGTGCTCTGGTAAGCGCTGTGAATTGTGCAAGACTGTTGAATCTCAGATCTGTACCTCTGAAACAAATAATGCAATATATGTTAAGAAAAAAAAAAAAGAAGAAGAAGGTAGCGGGAGGGGAAGAATGAAGCGGGGGAAATCGGAGGGGTAGACGAACCATGAGAGACGATGGACTCTGAAAAACAAACAGGGTTCTAGAGGGGAGGGGGGTGGGAGGATGGGTTAGCCTGGTGGTGGGTATTGAGGAGGGCACATTCTGCAGGGAGCACTGGGTGTTGTGCACAAACAATGAATCATGGAACACTACATCTAAAACTAATGATGTAAGGTATGGGGATTAACATAAGAATAAAAAAAATGAAAGTGTTTAAGAATCTGTTGTAAGGTACACACATCAACAAGACACAGTTATGTTATTCCTACCTACCTCATCCCTAATACCTCTATTTGTATTTTTTTTTAAGATTTTATTTATTTGACAGAGAGAGAGAGACAGCAAGAGAGGGAACACAAGCAGGGAGAGTGGGGGAGGGAGAAGTAGGCTTCTCGCCGAGCACGGAGCCCGATGCGGGGCTCGATCCCAGGACCCCGGGACCATGACCTGAGCCGAAGGCAGATGCTTAATGACTGAGCCACCCAGGTGCCCCCCTCTATTTGTATTTTTAAAGAAATCTCTTCCCTTAGTTTTATTTTTAAATTATTCTCTTTACTAAGACTCTAGGGTAGTGATGGTGGGCAGAGGTAGGGAAGCAAGAAAAGCATGTAACAATAGGATGGGGTTCTTTTTTAAAGCCATGCACACTATCCCCTAATAAAACTCTACAGGGGCACCTGGGTGGCTCAGTCGGTTAAGCATCCAACTCTTGATTTTGGCTCAGGTCATGATCTCAGAGTCGTGGGACTGATGCCAGCTAAGCACAGAATCTGCTTGTCCCTCTCCCTCTGCTCCCACCCCCACCCCCAAACCCAGGCTCGTGCTCTCTAAAATAAGTACATAAAATCTGGGCGCCTGGGTGGCTCAGTTGTTAAGCGTCTGCCTTCGGCTCAGGTCATGATCCCAGTGTGCTGGGATCGAGTCCCACATCGGGCTCCCTGCTCAGCGGGACGCCTGCTTCTCCCTCTCCCACTCTCCTTGCTTGTGTTCCCTCTCTCGCTGTCTCTCTCTCTCTGTTGAAAAATAAATAAAATCTTAAATAAAATAAGTACATAAAATCTTAAAAAAAAAAAAAACCCACAAAACCTCTACAACTCTCCCCACTTAGAATTTAAATGCTATTACTAATGGAAGACTAATTCTTGACATATACTGATGACCACAACTGTGTTGTGGTCCCTAAGATCACCCTGAGGTTCAAGGTTTGCTAGGAGGACTCAGAAAAGCTGTTATATTCATGGTTATGAGATATAACCATATCTTGTTGCTCTTTGTGCCTTACAACAGATTCTTAAACATGAAAGGATGCAGATTAAAACTAGAAAAGCAAAGGCACATAGGACAGAATCCAGGGGAGACCAGATGCAAGCTTCCAGTTGACTCCTCCCAGGGGAGTTGTAATGACAGCACTTAATTCTCCCAGCAATAATGTGTGACAACATGTGCAGAATATTGCCAACCAGGGAAGCTCCTCCGAGTCTTAGTATCCAAAGTTTTTATTGGGATGAGTCATATAGGCACAGAGCACCCAGGTGCTGACGTTAATTACTCAGTCTTCAACCCTTTCAGAAGTCAAATTAATAGAATGTGATCCTTCATCATAAATCCCATTGTTTAGCATGACCTAGATATGGGAGGGCCCAGGCCCCTAGTCAAAAGACAATTTTATCAAGCAGGATATTCCAACAGCTTAAAGGATATTTCCAGGAGCTGGGCAAGCGCCAGGTCTTTTTGGGAATGTGCAAGTTTTGAACAAGTTAATCCTTTTACTGGACAAAACAACTTCAGAATAAGAAGATGTCACATAGTTGATGTCATGGATGTGGGCACAGATTCAGCTCTAGATCAAGAGCTTCCCCATCATTTCTACATTTCCTCAGAAAGCTTGATTCCAGGCTGTTTTGAAAACTGCACAGAGTACAGCAATGTCACTAACCAGAACAGAGATTATAAATGAGATGGGGTGGGAAGCACCTATAAATGAGGGCTGGGGAAAAAGGGTAGGGAAGTCACTCTTTCTTTCCCATTCCTTCCCTAATTACAGGCCCAGCTGGAGGCAGGGTGAGAAGAAGGAATCCCTGGCAACTGTGGAGCCTTGCAAGAGCCAGAAGCAGAAGGGAGGAGAGGAAATACAACCCAAGTGGTACTTGCTGGGAGGAAAGTTAAGTTCCTATAACCACCTTGATGGGGAGTATACTCCAGGTTCCTCATCTTCCACCACCCCCAGGCTGATGTCTGATCATCCTGGCATCTCATCATCAAAAATTCTGTTAGGCTGGTTTAGCCAGAACTCCCCTGACCCCTGATGATTTCTCTTAGTAATTTTCCACCAGACTCCCCACCCTGCTCCTTGGGCATAAATTCCCACTTGTCCACACTATATTCAGAATGGAGCCTGGTTCTATATGGACCTCCTCCTCCTATTGCAATAGTTCTAAATAAAATCTGTTTTTACCATCCAGCCCTGGTTTTTCTTGACATAACTAAAAAGGGCAAGTATAGTACAGAGGAATTAGCTTAATTCTATGGGAAAGGGGATATCAGCTTGCTTTTGAATGATAAACAGGATATTCCCTACCTGCCCACAAAAGGGGCATTCCACGTAGAGGGGAAAATAGTGCAAGGTGGGGAGGCAGTATGTGGGAAGAGGCAGGCAAGAGTCACAGTACAAAGGGCTTTCTATGTCATGCTAACCAGTAAGGGTGACGAGGACATCAAGCACTAGAAGGGGCAGAGGGCAGTGCAGAGGATGGAATGGAGGTTATGAGAATGAAGGCTTATGACAGTTAAGAAACTCCAGGAATTGTCTGGATGAAAGCTAGTGCTTGAAAACAGAAGACTCCGTTGAAAACATTGATCTCCCTCCTTAAATTGAAGATTGGTGTTTTTGAAGAAAAGCGTATTTTCCTTTGGACTCCCCAAAATGTTAATGAACGAAAATTTATGACCGCAGGAAGCAGGATATATAGAATAGAAATACTGATGTAGACGACCTAGAATGAATCTGGAGGACTGAAAATCTTCGTAAAAGTCCAAGACCCTTTACATTTAAGGACTCTGGAACTTACCTGTGATCTAATTTCCTTTTTTCTTTCAAAAGATGAGAAACTCATCTGCACAAGCCTTTCCAGGAAAAGGGTGGTTGGAGGTGGTCGGGAGGCACGAGTTACGCTCCTCTCCTGAGGGGCAACTAGAAAGTTCCATCTGCTCCACGTTCCGGAACCCAAACCTTAGAAGGCCTTCAAGTCGCAGCTCAGAGGCGACCCCACCAGAGCCCTGAGGCCCCGCTCCTGCTCGCTCCTGCCAGGGCCAGGGCTGCGGACCACGGCTGCGGGGGCCGCCCCTGGGGCCCCGGTCTCCCGCCACCTCCCCTCCAGCGCTGAGGCCACAGGGAGCGAGGTCGGCCCGGTCGACATCCCGCCCTCGCGCCCGCGGGGCACTGGCTCGGCCACGTCCAAACCTCCGCCTGCTACAGCCAAGCTGCCGGCGGGCACGCACCCAGCGCCCGCTCGCTCCGCTGCTGTCGGCGGCAAGGCCGCGGCGTCCACTGCAGACACAGCGACGGTCGGCAGCAGGTCCTCCGGGGCGCGTGCAGCGACCGCACCACTCCTACCGGACCACCGACTCTCCACAGTGGGCCGACCGTCCCGGGCGGCCGGCAACCACCGTCCACAGAGCCTGCCACGTCCGCGGGCCCACGTGCAAAAACCGCCCGGTTCCCGCGCGCCCGCGCTGCGCCTGCGCACACTTCCAGCGGTAGGTCCAGGTGCCGTCGGGGCGCATGCTCCGTCCTGGGGTTCTGCCCCCTCCGCCCCCCCTCCCAGTTTGGAAGCGCGTTGCTGCAGCCGGCTGGCGCGCGCATGCGTGTCTCCGGTACCTGGTTTTCTCCCCGGCTGGGCGAGGAGCCGCGGGGCTTGGGTTTGAAGCCAGCCGAGCCGGAAGCCGGTCTGCTCCTTCGCCTCCCCTCTGTTCCTGGCGGAAACGCAAGCCCTGGAAGAGAGGTTCCGGGCTCAGCCTGAACTGGCGGCGGCAGAATGGAGACCGGGGCCGAGGACGTGGGACTGACCCGCCGCCCGATGCTGGCCTCTTCCTGGGATGCCGCCTGCGGAGCCCTGGCCCACAGCCTCCGTCTCACCCGGGCTGACGTCGGCGCCCGGGACTTGGACTGGGAGGAACCGCTGGCTCCGCCTGCCCCGGGGTGCGCCGGGCCGGCGGGGACTGGGGCCGCCGCTGCGGGAAGGTCGTGCCCCTGGGGAAGCCGGGAAGGCGGGTGGGGGCCGTGCGGGGAGAGGGTGTGGGCCCGGGATCCGGGAGCCGAGCTGGCGGCAGGTGTGTGCGGGGAGCGGGGCCGGAGGCGGGGCCGGGGCCGTGAGTGTCGGGCGCGGGGCCGGCGGCCGGGGACCGGCTCCGCCGCCGGGTCGGAACCGGGCTCCGCCCCCCCCTCCGCGCGCAAAACCGGCAGAGGCCTCCTGTCGACCCGAGTCGGCGTTAATAAGTGGGACTGTCGAGAGCCCGCATCGGCTTCGTTATGCAAGAGATAGGCGTTTGCCTCGTGGTGTCTTCTGTTGCCCACTGTGGTGCACACAGTAGGTCCCAGCGAACTTTCTCTCTTGAAATGAGACGTACCTACCGGGGATCGCGTCGGCAATCGAGGGAGCCGTAGAGGGCAAAGCCCTGGTGTCCGGAGTGTGCATGTCCTTGGGAATCTGTGTCCAGCGTCTGTTGGGTGCTCGGGAAGGTGCGGGGACCTCAGTGGTAAATGAAGACGTGAGTTAGGAGGAGGACCGTGGCCTGATAAGAGGCTTGTGGGCGGTGTTCGGACAAGTAGACTGAGGCAAGTGTTGGACGGTTTTCTTTTCAGCCAAGATCTGGTGGTTCTGAAGAGCAGCCTGAACAGCCCCGATGAAAAGCCCTGCTTCCTTTACCTGAGATGTGACCCTAACGGAGGCGAGGAAATCGTTGCTGTTGGCATTTTGAGTTCAGCAAGAAATATGGAAGTGTACTTAGGAGACGAGTACTGTGGAACCAGTAGGGGCAAGAATGTTTGTAGTGATCGGGATCACAGGTTGGTAACTCGTTAAGGCGGCAGTGTTCTCGCGCGGCGGTGTGACTGTCCTCGGCCTTTGTGGTGGTGGTTGGTGGCCTGACACTGAGGCCAGACGCCGGGGAGGAGAAGATGAAAACGTCACCATTCCTAATAGCCCAAAGGTTGCAGGAGGGGCAGTTTCTCAGTTTCTCCCTTTAAGGGCTCTTTGAGATAGTCTGAGCTTTCTCGTTGTTGTAAATGCGGAGATTTCGGCTGAGTGAGGGAGGTGACTGGCTAGAGGGTCGTACAGTCAGTCCCTATTCCTGCCCCTCGGCTTTCTCCATGAGCACACAGTGGTCTGTTTCCCAAAGGCAATTGGGCGGTTAGTCTGCAACGTTGAACACATGTTTCTGAAAGGAAGCCCATCACAAACGGTGCGCAGGCCCAAGACGGTGCCCCACAGCCGTCTGTGTAACCCACAGGTCCGCGCGTTAGCCTGTGATTTTTCTCCAGGTTCTGATACAAGGATTCTACCCGAATTCAACCTCAGGGTTTAAGGAAGGGCTTAGAAGCAATTAGAAAAAGTGGTGTTTTTTCCTTTGAGTATAGTTGACACAACATTGCATTAGTTGCAGGTGTACGCCATAGTGATTCAGCATCTGCATAGGTTATGCTGTGCTCACCACGAGTATAACTACCGTCTGTTACTGTACGATATTATGTCAAGATCGTTGACATATTGCTACTGCAATATCATCTGTGGCCACGCAAGTCTACTACAGTATCATTGACTGTATTTCCTATACTGTACCTTTTATTCCCACTACTTACTCATTCCATAACCAGAAGCCTGTATCTCTCTCACGCCCCTTCATCCATTTTGCCCATCCCTCTGACAGCGGTCCGTCTGTTTTCTGTACTTATAGCTGATTCTGCTGTTTCTTTGTTTATTCCTTTGGAACAATTCATTTTTAAATGTAACTGTTCAAACTAATAGAAGTAAAATTGATTTAAATTCCGTTTTATTTTTAGTGAGCACAGAATTGTTTTCTACAAAAAATATTTAAAATTGGAGTCCTCCAGCCATGCTTGTAAAGTAAAGGTAAGTCATCACTAGATTTTAACTAGTTTGACAACTGCAAATGTTTTTGTATGATTTGTACTTGTTTTCTGTTGGTTCAGTCATATGGTTAGTCCAGCTTTGTTCCTTATTATCTTTATATAAAAATATGGTGTCGTGAAAACTATAAGCAGTTTTGGCTTTATTATATCAAGAAAGATATAGGGAGATATATCAAGAAAGAAGGGAATTGGGGAAGTTTTAGAGAAGAGCATCCAAAAGTTAAAGGGATTGGGACTGATGTCTTGAATATGAAAAATATCATTGCGGTGAACTTTAGTGTTCTCACTGGAGCCTAGAGAAAAGTTACTGAGCTGGAAGACATAGACCCAGGATATTCCTCCTGTTTTGTTGCGTAGTCAAATGACCATGGGCAGCCTCTTTATTTCTTTCGAACTACTTCATGGATAAATTAAGGGACAAAAAAAAAAAACTTGGTATGTACATGAATGTTCATCACCATTCCTAATAGCCAAAAGGTTGCAAAGAAAACAACCCAACGGTCCATCACTGAATGTGTAAACAAAATATGGAATACCCACACAATCGAAAAGTACTCGGTCATGAAAAGCATATAGAAACACAGATGAACCTTGAAACATACCGTGCAAAAGAACTTGGGATCACATATTGTATGATTCTCTGTGTATGTATATATAAGGTCCAGAACATGCAAATCCACAGAGACTGAAAGTAGATTACTTACTATCTAGGGCTGGGAGGGAGTGGGGGGGTGGGTATTGGTGGGATGGGGAGTGACTGTCAGGGGGAACATGGCTACTTTTTGGGTGATGTTCTAAAAGTGCAATGGCTCTCACCAAAAACCATAAGATACCTAGGAATAAACCTAACCAAAGAGGTGAAAGATCTACTTTCTGAAAACTACAGAAAACTTATGAATGAAATTGAAGAGGACACGAAGGAATGGAAAAACATTCCATGCTCATGGACTAGGGGATCAAACATTGTTCAAATGTCTATACTACCCAAAGCAATCTATACATTTAATGCAATCCCTATCAACATACCATGAGCATTTTTCACAGAGCTAGAACAAACAACCCTAAAATTTGTACAGAACCACAGAAGACCCCATGTAGCAAAAACACAGTCCTGAAAAAGAAAAACAAAGCTGGAGGCGTTACGATTCTGGACGTCAAGCTATACTACAAAGCTGTAGTCATCAAGGTAGTATGGTACTGGCACCTAAACAGATACGTAGATCAATGGAACAGAATAGAAAACCCAGAAACGGAGCCACGACTATGTGGTCAACTAATCGTCAACAAAGTGGGAAAGGATATCCAATGGAAGAAAGACTGTCTCTTCAACAAATGGTGTTGGGAAAATTGGACAGCAACATGCAGAAGAATGAAACCGGACCACTGTCTTACACCATGTACAAAAATAAATTTAAAAAGGATGAAAGACCTAAATGTGAGACAGGAAACCATCCAAATCCTAGAGGAGAACACAGGCAGCAACGTCTTTGATCTTGGCCACGGCAACTTCTTGCCAGAGACAAGGGAAACAAAAGCCAAAATGAAGTATTGGGACTTCATCAAGATAAAAAGTTTCTGCACGGTGAAGGACACGACAAAACTAAAAGGCAGCCTACGGAATGGGAGAAGATATTTGCAAATGACATCTGATAAAGGGTTAGTATCCAAAGTCTTTAAAGAACTTATCAAACTCAACACCCAAAACACAAATAATCCAGTGAAGAAATGGGCAGAAGACATAAACAGACATTTTCCAAAAAAGACCTACAAATGGCTAACAGACGTGAAAAGATGCTCAACATCACTCATCATCAGGGAAATGCAAATCAAAACCGTGATGAGATATCAGCTGACACGTGTCAGAATGGCTAAAATTAACAACACAAGAAACAACGGGTGTTGGTGAGGATGTGGAGAAAGGGGAACCCTCTTGCACTGTTGGTGGGAATGCACACTGGTGCAGCCACTCTGGAAAACAGTATGGAGGTTCCTCAAAAAAGTTAAAAAATAGAACTGCCCTTCGACCCAGCAGTTGCACCACCAGGTAACAACCCAAAAGATAGAAAAATACAAATTGGAAGGGGTACATGCACCCCAGTGTTTATAGCAGCATTATCAACAATGATGTTTATAGCAGCCAAACTATGGAGAGAGCCCAAATGTGCATCAGCTGATGAATGATTAAGGATGTGGTATATGTATACGATGGGATATTACTCAGCCATCAAAATGAATGAAATCTTGCCATTTGCAACAACATGGAGGGAGCTAGAGTGTATTCTGCTAAGCGATAAAAGTTAGAGAAAGACAAATACATGGTTTCACTCATATGTGGAATTTAGGGAAGAAAACAGATGAACATATGGGGCAGGGGGAGAAAAAAGAAACAAACCGTAAGAGACTCTTAAAGATAGAGAACAAACAGGGTTGCTGGAGGGAGGTGGGTGGGGGATGTGCTAAATGTGTGATGGGTATTAAGGAGGGCACTTGTTACGATGAGCACTGAGCGTTATGTGGAAGTGGTGAATCATTGAATTCTACTCCTGAAACCAGCATTGCACTGTATGTTAACTAACTAGAACTTAAAAAAACATCTGAAAAGATAAGAAATAGAATAAAATAAAACTATAATGGCTACGCAACTCTGTGAATATACTAAAATGCACTGAATTGTACACTTGAAATCATTTGATTGTTTGGCACTTTAATTATATCTCAATAAAGCTGTTTTTAAATTTAAATTTTTTAAAAAGGAAATAAATCCTTGCTATCTTTTTATCTCCACATTACTTTATACAAGGTTACAAGACTTTAGAATAAGAAGCAGTAAGTAATTTCATAGCCTGCTGGTACCAAATTTACAGAAGTGATTATTCCAACATACTGGTTTATATGGTATATATTAATAGCTTCCAGATTTATTTAAATGAAGTGTTTCATGCATTCAATACTATTTGAATGCCTACGGATGCTAGATACTGTAACTAGGCATGTAGGAATTAGCAGGAATATAATGAATGACTGCGCTCATGTTGCTGACATTCTCGTGTGATGAAATAGATTATAAGCTGACTCAATGAGCACAATATGTCCCATATTCAGTGGTGGAGCAATGGGGATGAAAAAACAGGAGGGTAGCAGGGAGGTTAGAAGGTAGGTGTGTAAATGTAATGCGGAGGTTCCTTAATTGTTGAGGACAGTCACTTCTTTGGTGCCATGCTCAGAGTTCTTGGATTATGGGTTCTTGACCTGTGTTGTCATGTTACACATGGTTTCGTATGTGTATCTGAAGGTGAGTGTTTTTTGTTACCTGTTCTATGGAAGTTCTACGGGAATGCTAAGGGTAGTCTCATTAGAGACATCCTAGGCCCGCTAAAGGTTGTTCTGGGGCAGTAGTATATGAAAGTTAGAAGTTACTGACCCATCCTTTTCAGCACTTACTTACAGTGGTAGGTACTGGGAATTTTAACACCTAGTCCTCATAACAACCGTGTAAAATCATTGTTTTTTACCCTCCCTCATTTTATTCCTGACTCAGGTTTCTGCCTTTTTCCCCGGGTCACACAGGCTCTAAGTAGAGTCGTCATTGACTCTGTCTGATTCTAAATCCTGGTCCCTTTCTACTTTGCTACTTTGTTGTCCATATGACACAAGAAATGTCTTTTGGTTCAGAAACATGGATGAAATAAGGCAGCCTAAAGCACTGGGCAGGACACTGCTATAGAAGCCAGAGGGCTAGGTTCCAAGCTTGACTTTTACCAATTTGGTAATCCTGTGACAAGTCAGAAAATCACCCCTGACCTCATCTTTTTGTGTGTGAACCAGTAGGTTATGTTAGACCATATCTGACTTTCTCTTAAAATTCTCAGTTCTAAAAGACTGACTTATTTTTAGTATTTCAGTAAATACTTTGGAAGTGCTTTTGTAAAGCCTTCTTTTGTATTAAATAGTATTATAGCTAGCCGTGCTGTGTTAAGTTCTCAGATTGGTATAGTTTATTTTTATTCATTAATTTAAGTGAACGAAATCTTATCGTAGCCCCTTTTGTATATTCTGTGTATTTATTCAGTTTCAAATGGTATTCTTTTTATAAATCGTTCTTATGAGCCTTGTGGTAAATTAGAAGTGCTGATCGTTACAATTTTCAGGAAAACTTAAAAATGAACATGTATTTAAAGTTTATTTTCCTAAGTGCGTTATTGCCAGTTTATATAGAAAAGTGACCTTAAGTAGTGATTACTGTTTAATATTATTATTTTCTGGAACTTCTTTGTTTTATAATAGTTGCTCTCCTTTGGTGAAAAGCAGTGTGTGTTCATCAGTAAAATTGTGGTACAGTTGAGGCGGGTTTCAACAAATTCTTCCACAAGCTCTCCTGCTCTAGGATCAAGGATAGACCTGCAGAGGGTCCAAACTCTCATGGAGGCCATGGGGTCAAAGTTGTCACCTGGCGCTCAGCAACTGATGAATATGGTTAAATTTCAGCAGCAGGTAGGTAGACGTGGATTCTGTCGAGGTACCATTAAAAATTTCAGAATGACGGCTTTTCATAAGGCCACGTATCGACTTAAGTTTTTTCTTTGAACTTTGTTGATTTGACCGCTACCTTTATTTGCTTTGTAAAAGAACATTTTGTAGACTTTCTCTTCCACAAAATATCTTACCACAGATCTTTACAATTTTCCATGAATTTACTCATTCATTCAGCAGCTATTTATTAAGCACCTTCTCAGCGAATAAGGCAATGTTTGGAGCACTTTAGGAAGTTCAAAGATCAGTTAGTTTGTAGCCCGTCTTTAAGGATCTTTATATAGTCTCATTTTATCTAGGTCTTGAAGGAAGAAGGATGGGACCGGGCAAGTAAATTTGGAGGGGTGCAGTTCGGGAGAGAGAAAATAGCATGGAGTGACTCTTCAGTGCTAGAAGGAACAGGATATAGCTAGGAAATGAGTAGAAGTTCACTTCTCTGGGGTGAAGAAGTGGTTGGGGGAGTTAGCTTGGGGTTGGACCATAGAGGGTTTTGAATGCTCCGTTAAAAGTACCTGCGTGGTTTTGCGTACATTTTGAGAAACTAACCTAGCGCTATGCGTAAGAGGAGTGAGAAGCAACAGTGATCGGTAGGATGTGAGACGCCGGGGGGAGCCGTTCCGTGCTCCTTTCCTCATCCAGATGAGAGTCAAGAAGGAGGGTCTAAAATTGGACGGATAACCTGATGCTGGATTGTGAGATGTTACCATGATGGTGCCATCAGCTCTAGATAACTTGATATTGGTATCGCCAGAGAAAAATAGAGTTAAAGGGGACGTTGAGGTTTGGAAGATGGTGGTACCAACGATATCAATGGAACCCAAGGGAGGAGACCGTTGGGAAAAAGGGAGTTTGATTTTGGGAATATCAAGTTGTAGATGTGAATCAGACAGTTCCTGGGATGATGCTGCGAGCTTTTGGAAGCACAGGAGGGTGTGCGGGTGGAGGTGGGGGAGCCGAAGGGAGGTTTGAGAGATGTACCCAGTAGAGGGCAGGGAAAGTGCTGAAGGGAGAGCCGGAGCAAGGAAGAAAGGTCCATGGGGAGTAGCTAGGTTTGGTAAGGATAATAGGGAGCAGGAAAAGGAATAGAACAGCGGAAGACCAGCGGTGTGACCCAGTAGCACGAGGGAAGATCTGATGTCAGGAGACCTGATTTCAGGTTGTGGTGCTGACATGAGTAGTTGCGTAATGTGGCATTGCTTCGTCTTTTTTTTTTAAGATTTTATTTATTTATTTTTGACAGAGGGGAGAGACAGCCAGTGAGAGAGAGAACACAAGCAGGGGCAGTGGGAGAGGGAGAAGCAGGCTTCCCGCTAAGCAGGGAGCCAGATGCGGGGCTCGATCCCAGGACCCTGGGACCATAACCTGAGCCGGAGGCAGACACTCAACGACTGAGCCACCCAGGCACCCCTGCTTCCTCTTTTTTACATAAATTTTGTCGTGTTCAAAATCTATAAACGATAATACTGCTAAGATAAAGGATTCATGGGAAAGTTTAAAAGAAATAGTCGAAACAAACAACTTGTGTACCTTTTGTGAGCTTTACCAATCGTAATTCAGTCCAGGTGTCACTGATGCAATGGGCAAGACAGGGAAACTGGGAAAGTTGACGGTTATCCTGGGAACCCTGGAAAGGAAGGTTTCAAAAAAGTACCAGTTCCATACTTTTCTTTCTCTTGTACCGTCACCCCACCTCGATCCTCAGGAAGTCCCTGACTGGTCCTCCTGCTCGACTGCAGTCCATTCTCCACAGGGTGACCAGAGTAATCTCAAAGGGTAAATCAGACTCATCGTTCCCTGTGTGAAGCCCTCTGACTGCTTCTCATCACCCTCAGAAGTAACCCAGATTCCTTACCCTGGCGTCTAAGATCTGGGCCTTCTTTGATTCCTTAACCTCATCTCCTACCAAATCTCCTGGGACACCTGGCTTCCAGACATGCTGATGTGTGTAGTGCTCAGATATTCACGTGTGTTCAGGACCTTGGCACTCTTAATTTTTCTCTTTCTCCACAAGCCTCTTCCCCAGACTGGGGCAGGGCTGGCTTTTTCTTTTTATTCAGATTTCAACTTCAGTGTTACATCCTTAGTGTAACTTAGATGTAACACATCCTTCCCCAGCCACCGGTTTAAAATTTTCATCAGAGCCTTCTTGACTGTTTTGTTGTTGTTTATATGTTGGTCTGTTTACCTCATTCAAATACAAGCTTCATGCAGACAGGGAGCTGGTCTGTCTTGTTTGTGACTCCAAGTAAGTATATGATACATGTGCCTTTTGGGTTGTCAGCTAAGTGCTTCTTGGAGATCTTCAGGGTTCAGATTGAATGATCATGATATGGAAACGAGCTCTTGAGGGGTTAGGCAGTAAATGGGGGTAGTTGGAATGTGGAGGTACCCAGGGTTAAATGGGTTTGTTTCAAGAATGATAGAGATAAGGAGCTTCCCTGTATCGGAATCCCTTGGAATGTTTATAAAGTGCAGATTCCTGGCTGTCACCAATGACCTGAAACCCAGAAGGTGGGATCCGGGAATTATATCAACCAGGCATCCCCAGATGATTCTTAACGCATAGTGTATTTTAAGAACAAGTGATCGAGGAGAAGGATCCCACGGAGATAGAAAATGTAGAACAAGACGAAATTATTTTCTGTGTGCAAGACTTTGGAAACATCAGAGAGGGTTAATGAGGTAAAATCAGCTCATGGACTGATTTTTGTGTTCTAAAAACTGAACTTTGGAAAAAGAGATAACATGGATAGTTTTTTTGGTCATGTCTTTAAGTTTTTTGGTTTAATTCCAAAAATAACCTGTTCTCTTTGCTATTAATATCCATCCATTCAGAAGTGCATTAAATAAATCATAAAAGTGCTCTCCCAGCTTTCATTCTCTTGCCCAGCTTGGTGTGTATCCTAGAGTTTCCTGCGTATGTAGAAATACATGCAAGTCCTTCCATCCAGTGCACGTGTTGTGACGTGCCCCCCTCCCCCCAAGAAATCCTTGTATATGGGGCCATTTGGGGAACCCTGCGGAAGAAGGAAGGTGATTCAGTTCAATGTTCTTTTAAACATGCTAATAAAAGACCTCTTCCAAGTGTGGAGGCTCTCTTTATGGGATGATTCTTACGGGGCACACCTGGTTTTCTAGGATTGCATGTTATTAACAAGCAGGAATCTATGGAATGTCTCCCTAGAAAGTGTCATGTAAGCTACGTAACTGTTAAGTCTCAAGTAGGGATGTTTTGGGGCATCTGGCTGGCTCAGATGGTAGAGCGTGTGACTCTTAATCTCGGGCTTATAAGTTCGAGCCCCACGTTAGGTGTAGAGATTAATTAAAAATAAAATGTTAAAAGTAAATAAATATAGTAGGGATGTTTCATGACCAAAACTGTTCCTTCAGTGGAAGCTGTGTAACCGCACACGCGATTTAGAACCTTCCTACATTAATTTGGGCAGGGCCTGTCGTGAAGGGGAAAGAAGTGACCTGGGAAGCTTTGTTAGAAGCCTTCCACCTTTCCCGGCTTCACCTGTGCTTTGGGGTTGCTTGTGTTCTTAAAAGTTTTGTTAAAGTGTTTTCTTATTTCTTTATATTTCACGTTCAAATTTGCTGGCTTTGATTTGTGTTTGCTTTACAATTTAGCAAAATTGAATAGGAATTCTATATCAAAGTGCCTAGCCTATAGTTTTCATTTAATGTTGCCTGAATGAAAGGATGCACCCCATTTTTCTCGAAGAAAACGTACTCAGTTATGCAGGATTTACAGTTTACTAATTTCACCTTTAAAATACAAATATGTTTTTTTCTTGCTTTTTCAAGGTGATACTTGTTTAAATTTTTTATAATAAAAGTTAGACAGTCCTTTCAGATATCTGACGAGATGTTCAGAAATAGACCCTTAATTTTTCACAAGTCTGGGGGTAAATGTGCACGTGTATTAAATGATGTGTCTACACAGATACATGGCCCTTTACATATTCATGTATAGGTATATGGACATAATTTTGTGTGAATGCTTCTGTGTTCTTTTAAGCTACTGTGTAAGTGTTTTCCATATAACATCTGACCTGGATCCTAAGCAATAAATATGTATAAATTATTTCATACATATTCCCCTGCCTACTTTTAAAAGGGTTTTGGTGGACCTTTCATGGCACCATGTGTGAGACAGCACAAGAAGATTAGAAGAACTGAGTAAATGAAACAAAAGGAAACAGAAGAATAGCCACCAGCACCTAAAGTTGGTGTATTCACTGCACTGCCATATAGACTTACCTGTGAATTCCGTGATATTTAATACAAAGAGGAAAAGGAAATTACCTTAAAAGCTCTCATCTGAGAAAAATATGACTAATTTTTGGAATCACTGAATTTCTTCTAATTAAAATTTGGTATATCAGAAAAGAAAACCTCACATAGCAAATACTTTATTTGCGTTTCCATTTTCTTAATTAAAATTTCTGCCAAATTAGTTGCCATACACAATTTTGACATTGATTTCACTGCTATTTCTACCAAATTTTCGATTTCCTGGGGTCCTTCAGTGGCTTAGTCTGTTAAGCGTCCGACTCTTGATTTCGGCTCAGGTCACGGATCTCAGGGTCGTGAGATCAAGCCGCGAGTCGGGTTCCATACTGGGCATGGAGCCTGCTTGGGATTCTCTCTCTCTCTCTCTCTGCCTCTCTCCACCCCCCCAATCATGCTCTCTCTCTCTAAAACTAAAATTTAATTAAAAGAATTTTCATGTTTCTGTCATTAAGGTTTTTTTGGACTGTTTACCACTACCAAAAATAATTTAGCTTTGTCATCATGATTGAGTAAGGCTCCTTTCTATCAAAGGAGAGTTGTTGAATTTTAAAATTTTGTATATAATTATATGTATTGTATATATAATGTATAATATATGTAATTTATATAATTATATACAGTCCATCTTGTAGGAATAATTTAAGGTTTATCCAAACCTTGCATTCAGTAGAAGAAAATAACGTTTCTTTATAAAGAGTATTCCTCCAAAGTACAGTTCAGTAAAAGAAGTCTCATGGAGACCCTCCTGCTGCCCCCTCCACCCCCACCGACTTCCCTGGATCTCATCATTTCCCTTGCCTCCTTTATTTTTCCCTAAAGTATTTATCACCGTCTCCATCCACATGATATATTGCCTGCCTGCCTACCTTCCTTCCTTCCTACTTTCCTTCCTTCCTTGCTTCTTTCCATTGTTCTCTGCTCCCATATTGGTTCCACATATCAGTGCTTTTCATTTGTTTTGTTCACCCACTTATTTTCTGTGCCGGAAGCACAGAGTAGATTTCTGGTAAATATTTGTTGACCAAATGAATTTTGGTTTGGTTCAGTCCAGGAATCATTTTTTAGAGTGTCTAGACAATGTATGTACTGAGTTTCTTTAGCTAACCTGCATAACACTTGTCTCAGTCTCTTTCAGTAGGTGTTGAGCAGGAGTACGGATGTGTTGATATCTCCCGAGTAAGAATAGAGTTTTGTGTTTCCAATTTAGAATACAGCCCTATAACTTAGCAGTTTCGTAGGCTAGAGGTAGTTTTGCTTTACTCTTGCAGAAGAACTGAAGAGCATAGCAAGAACATGCCCCTGTATGGGAGACCACGTAACCTCATCACAGAAGTGAGCCAGAACCCTGTCATGAAATAATAGAGCATAGCCAGTTCAGTTGAGGCCGTAAAACATAATCTGTTATCCTGTAAATCATTAAGGCAGACATAGCCAAAAGTGGGCTCATTTTAGTTGTTGCAGATGTCGCAACTGTACTGATGAAACATCAGACTTCTTTTAAAGATTTTATTTATTTCTTTGACAGAAGGAGACACAGCGAGAGAGGGAACACAAGCAGAGGGGGTGGGAGAGGGAGAAGCAGGCTTCCCGCCGAGCAGGGAGCCCGACGCGGGGCTCGGTCCCAGGACCCCGGGATCATGACCTGAGCTGAAGGCAGACGCTTAACGACTGAGCCACCCGGGTGCCCCGAAACATCAAACTTCTAGTATATAAGCTATCTGGTGTATCTTCCATGATAAGCTAGTTATAACAGATCTCCTTAGGTTAGCTTATTATATGGGAAACTTGATGGGTGATATTTAAATCTAAGAATATTACTAATTACTGTGCCTCAGTTGAGAGTACTGTGTTTTATTACCATAAATTAAGGAGGCCTTCGTAGTGGAGACATTAATGCTAATGCAACTTTACTAAGCATGCTAATATTTAATATTTCCTTTAGGAAAAACTACAGGGAAACCATTAAAAGCCTTGACTCTGGAGTTAGGTGGTCTGGGTTCATGTCCCCATTCTGCCACTTACTGGTTACTAACTGTTACACTAGTTATGTTACCTTAGGCAGGTTACCTTCAGCCTTGGTTTCAGCTTAGCTGTGGTCTCCTCAACTTAAGATTGTAGCCTACATCATATGGATGTTTAGAGGATCAGATGAGAGCATGCGCGTTGCTTTGACTTAGAGTAATTAGCCCAAAAGGTAGCTGTCGCTACTACCAATAGTAACATGTATTTATTCACCTTGCTTAGAATTGTGTTCCCATCGGAGAGCAGCTTCGGTCGGCTTTGGGAAATACTGGCTACAAACGTATGATCGACCTGCAGTCGTCAGTTGCTTCAGGAGCCTCAGACAAGTCACCCTCCACGCCTTTCCCTTTTAGAACCGGATTGACATCTGGAACCCTGACTGAAGACTTAAACACCTACGTTGATAAAAGTCCACAGCCACCGGGTGCAGGAAACACTACAAACCTCCAAGAGTATAACATTGTGCCACAAAACCATTCTTTTCTTGAGAATGACCTGAGAAACGCAGTTTCTTCTTTCCTGCCGAAAAAAGCGAGTGACAACTCAAATGTCCCTAACTCTGAGTTGCTGCCTTTTCTCCAGAATTTATGTAGTCAGGTTAACCATCTCCGTGTGGGACGTAACACCAAGTGGCAGGAAGGCATCACTAAGGCTGGGGAAGGCGTTGTTGGTGTTGCGTAAGTATTTCAGACAAATGTGGTTTAGGTTTCGTAGATGGAAGAATCAGTTGGGGGACAACAGATTTGTTTCACTAACTACTGCCTGTAGCTGTTTCCAGTAATTTTAGGAGCTATAACTGAACGTGGATCGTGGACTTAAACGTACAACGTAAAGCTATAGGGGCTTCTGGCTGGCTCAATCGGCCGAGCATGGAACTCTTTTTTTTTTTCTAATTTTTAATTTTATTTTTTTAATTTATTTTTTGCAGAGCGTGCAACTCTTGTGAGTTTGATACTTGCCTTAGGTGTAGAGATTACTTAAAAATAAAATCTTTAAAAACAAATAAGCAGAAAGCTATAAAACTTTTCCAGTAGTATGTAGAACATTTGGGAACCTCAGAGTAGGAAAAGACCCTTAGGTGATACCAGAATCACAGTAATGGGAACACTGATATATTGGATCCCGTCAAAATGTAAAACTTCTGCCTTGTGAAAGACCCCGTTAAGAGGATTAAGATGCAGATACAAAGTGGGAGGAAATATTTGCAAGTCACAAATTTAACAGATGGCCTGCATTTCTGTCGCTCCCAGAATTCACGTAAGAAAAAAGTTCGATCAGAAGATGGGCAACAGACATGGAGACATGTTACTAGAAAGGGTACACATACCAAATAAGCAAGGGAAAAGATGATCATCATTGACCTCATGGCTGTCAGGGAAATGAATATCAAAACCACAAGATACCTCTGCACAGTTATTTGAAGATTAAAATAAAAACAAAAAATGGTAACAATACCCAGTGCTGATGAGGATGTGGAGAAACTGGATCTTTTCTACACTGGCGGTGGGGGTGTGGAATGCTATAGCCACTCTAAAAAATACTTTGGCAATTTCTTGAAAAGTAAACATTTACCGTCTGATCCAGCAGTCCCACTCCTGAGCATTTATCCCGGAGAAATGAAAACTTAAACGTCCACACAAGAAACTATGCCCAGTTCTTCATGCAAAGCTTTATTTCTATGTAACAGCCAAAACCTGGACGCAACCAAAATGTCTTAAAATAGATGAACAGTTAAACAGACTGTGGTATATCCATATCACAGGGTGGTAATCAATAAAAGGAACGGACCACTGACACCCGCAATAACCTGGATGGCTTCTGAGGACATTATGCTGAGGGACAAAAGAGAATCTCAGGAGGTCACGCCGTGTGTGGTTGTATTTGCATAACCTCCTCAAAGTTGTAGAGATGGAGACCATATTGGTGGTTGCCAGGTGTTAGGGGTGGAGGGCGTTAGGGGAGTGGGTGTGACAGTAGGGGGTGGCAGGAGGGAGATCTTTGTCGTGAAGGAAGAGTTGCGCGTCTCAGTTGTGATGTTCACGTGAATGTGTGTACGTGTGATAGAACGGCATCCACGCACCCCGTGCCAACATCAGTTTTCTGCTTTTGTATTCTGCCAGAGTTAGGTGAGATGTAACCACTGGGTAAAGGGTCCTGGGGAACTCTAGTATCTTTACAACTTCCTGTGAATCTGGAGTTATTTGGAACAAAAAAACACTCAGCGTTTTAAAACCCCCTCATATATTCTAGAGTGGGGTTCTCAAACATTTTGGTCTTTACATTCTGAAAAATAATTGAGGACTCTAAAGCCCCTTTATTTATGTAGAGTATATGAAAGGATTCATTTGTTTAAAAATAACAAACCCGTTGGGTGCCTGGGTGGCTCAGTTAAGCGGCTGCCTTCGGCTTGGGTCGTGATCCCAGGGTCCTGGGATCGAGTCCCGCATCGGGCTCCTTGCTCAGCAGGGAGCCCACTTCTCCGTCTCCCTCTGCTGCTCCCCCTGCTTGTGCTCTCTGTCTGTCAAATAAATAAATAAAGTCTTTAAAAAAAAATAACAACCCATTACACAGTAACGTAACAAATTGTAGTAGAAATATATTTCCTAAAAAAAACTTAGAATGGTATTATGTGAGAAGTATAGAATCGACACTAGCTTCTGGTGGCATTCTCATCTGTGTGGCCCTCCAGCATATAGCATCAGTAGCTAGTAAGACCGCAGAAGTACTGAGAATAAACGGGGTTGATGTCTGGAGAAAATATTTATACCCTAAATTGACTACCTTCAGAAAGTCTAAGAAACAGAAAAATACTCAACCACAACTTCTTTTGATCACCTGAGCAGTGACTACACCTCGTGTAGCCTCTGGGAAATGTCACCGTATGTTCATGAGGATCCGGATGAAGAGTTCGGATATCATCTTAGTGGTAGTGTACGAACACTTGGCACTTATGGAAGCTGAAAAAGTCATGGCGACCCCGGGGTTTTATGGACCACGCCCTGAAAGTCGCTGTCCTGGTGTTCATTGGTTGTGAGCTTGAGAAACGAGCGCTTTTGATTTATTAGATTTTATTTATTTGAGAGAGAGAGAGAGAGAGAGAGAGAGCATGAGCGGGGGGAGGGGCAGAGGGAGAAGCCGGCTCCTCCCTGAGCAGGGACCTTGGGCTCTTGACCCCAGCTGAAGTCAGATGCTTAACCGACTTGAGCTACCCGGCCGCCCCTTTTTACTATTTTTATTTCTGTCTGCCCATTCCAGTTACATTCATTTTTAAATGTTTTCATATTAGGTTAGAAAACCTTCCATTATTTAGTGAGGTTGTGCGGGTGACAAGGACAAAACTTGAAATTGTAGGGTTGTTTAGGGAAGTTCTTGGAAGACATACGTGGAGACCTTAAAAAAAATTGGGCCAGATCAGTTTTGGTTGGGGGCTCAAAATCAAAAGACCCTTTGTAAGAGACTTGTTCTGTGAGGGTAGACATTCTGTCCTCGTTGTTCTCTCCTCATTTCCCTGGTATGCTTGGAATGTTGTAAGAATCAGATACAGAATGCTTTGGGCATTCAGGGTTGTGGTTGCCTGTTGGTAGATGTACTTTGGCAGCCGGAAATACATCGTACCCAGACGGCACCGTTGTGGAGACAGATTTCCGCAGTGTACGTTGGCTGCTTGTTTCAGTATAGTTCGGTTGTTTCTGTTATGATACCAGGGATGATTGTTATACTGGTTTTTTAACATTTGTTTTTAGAATGGAAGAGCAACCTGTGTGCACCTACTTGGAAAAGATTCTTACTAAAAATATGGAACTGCTGGAAAAGAAACTTGTGGACCACATCGATCAGCGAATATATCAACTCCAGGAACACATGGATACAAAGATGGCTCTGTTAATGGACCTGCTGCAGAATCCCTACTCCCCACCCCCTGGGACGGTCCTTAGACAGTGTGACTCTGGAGAAAGACTTTCAAATGGAGAAAGATAAGTGCTCAACATGTAGGATGTACTGCAGATATTTATTACGTATTTATTGCAAAGCCTAAACCCCCAGAGTTCAAAGCAAGTATTTAATGTCATTTGAGGAGCATCAGCTTACTTACATCAAGTGACCTCATTACTGTCAATCCAGGACTGTGCATTAAAATTAACATGATAGGGTCATCAATCATTTTTGTTTGCAATATTGTTTACTTTTATTTTTTACTTGTATTTACTTTTATTTTTGTTTAAGTGTTTAAAGTTTTTAAGGATGTCTATTTTAATTAATGAATCTGTATTTTATGTGTTTCAGTACTGTTTTAATTTATAGAAAGGCCTTATGTTTTAGGGATATGAAAAAAATACAGTATTTGATGTATTTTTCTTTTTCTAATTGATTGTTCTTGGAAACCTTAGAGTACTTAAGCCTTGCAACCTTTAATTTCCAGTCACCAAATTACATTTTATGTTGTTTATTTCAGATAAAAAATTAGATGTGATATTTCTGCAAAATTAGTATACATTGGGGCCATTAGTTTTATGTTCTGTCACAGTGGAGCTCTACTGTGGGTAGGAAAGAAACATCAGAACTGGACTTTTTTGTTAAGATTATTACTTTAGATTTTGCATTTGATGTAAAACAAGAGAAGTCATCTTGTTTCATTTCAGTAAACACAGAAAGTATAAGAAACTCTTCTCTTCTGATAGTGGTTCTTCTTTCCAGAGCCCTGCTCTGGTATATTTAACATGTGAAGTGCTGAACCTCTACAGTCGAGGATAAAGGCATATGAATCAAGGAGATTGCACTTCTCTCTGGCAGACGTAATTTTCAGAAATTATGACTATTTTATATGTGTTGAGATGTGGTATATTTGCATCTAAAAAATCATCTACTCTGGAAACGATGTGTCTTAAATAAATATAAATATTTTCTTTTTTATATTAAGATTTTATTTATTTATTTGAGAGAGAGAGCGTGAGAGAGAGAACACGAGCTGGGGTGGGGGGATGTAGGGCAAAGGGAGAAGCAGACTCCCCGCCGAGCAGGGAGCTCGACTCAGGGCCTCTATCCCAGGATCCCAGGATCATGACCTGAGTCAAAAGCAGATGCTTGACCGACTGAGCCAGCCAGGCACCCCAGAAATATTTTCCTTTCACCTAGTATTTGTTTAACATGAAAAAGATGTTTTACACTCATTTCATGTTTTGGTGAATTTAGTTCTTGAAAGTGAAAACTAATCCAGTGTTCATTTATGAATCACTCTGCACTCAGTGACAGGAGGTCTATATATCACTTTTATCAAGCTTTTCCTAATTTATTCACAACCTATGTAGCCAATAAGTAGCATTTTTTCCTACACTCAGGGGAAGCGTGTTGCACTTAAAGCTCAGCCCTCCTGTTTAGTAGCTGTACAATTTCTGATAGTTGTGGTCTGTTCTTTGGTTCAGAAATTGCCTTGAAATAGTTAAAACTAGAACATACAAGGTATGTTTTATAAAATGATTAAAATAATACAATATTCATGATTATAGTACTAGAAATAATTCAGATGAGCTTTAATTCCTGATTTTCCATTTCTTAATTTTTCCATGTTAATGAAGAGCTAACTTACATTTTATATGTATCAGAAATTCAGAGGTACTGATTTTCTTGTATTTATAAACTGCTGTGCATAAATCTGTTTATTGCTATATTATTATTTTCTAAGAAAATACTGCCTGAATTCGCTCAGCAGAAGCAGCAGACTATAGTACTTACAAACTCTCTATTAAGTTTTTTTTCTCTTGTAAGTTTTCTCCACATGTAATAAGCTGGGTCTGCGGAGTAAGGGCTAGCAAATGCACCTTCACGGGTAACCACCGCAGTTTGAAGTAGCTGCAAGGGATGTGTGATGATCAAGAAATTGAATCAAGATCCAGGTTGTGTATTTTAATTTCCACATTTTTACCACTTTGAGTGTTACTTCATCTCCCTCTTTGCCATGGGGGCGTGCTGAGGCTTCCCTCCCACTTTTCATCACTGGACTGTCGGTGTTCTGGGTGCAGGGCAGAGAGTGAGTTTGCATGCTGCTGCCCTAAGACTCCCCTGAAAGTGTGGCCATACAGACTAGCACAGGAGGCTCTTCCTCACTTGGCCCCAGCCCAGCTTTCCAGCCTCATCAGCCACCTCCACGTGATCTGCTGTTCTAACATGTCCTTTCTTCCCGCAGCTCCTCAGATTGTTGGTTCCAGCAGACGCGAGTCCTCCTCCTGTGGGTCTCACCTCTCCCTACCCTACGCTATCGTTCCAAGTCAGCTCAGATGCAGCCAACATGAAGCCATCCTGGGTCCCTCCCTCCCCCAGTCGGGAAGCAAGCAGGTGGATGGGAGAAACAGACAAGCAACACTGAAGGCTCGCTTTTGGGGCATGTAAAACAGTCGAGGTCGGCTAAAGCATAGGATGCATGTCAGGTAGTGGCCAGAGGTAAGGCCTGAAAAGGTGGCCTGGGTCTGGCTTTGGAAAACCGTGACTGCTCCACTCTGGAGATTTGTGTGGTTTAAGAGGAGAGTGACACAGTCAGCTCTGGGCCTCAGAAAGCAAGCCAGCGTGGAGCTTTGCTCACGAACCCACTTGCGGAATTTCTTGGCATTCTGCTTTGCGTTGCAGTGGACTCTGGGTGCTGGGAATGCAGAACCCGGGTAACATCTGATTGCCTGACAAGTTAGGTCAGCATTTCTCATCATCTGCTCTCCAATCTTTGTCAGAGTCAGTTGGGGAACTTGTCAGACGTGAAGGTTTCTCGAGCCCCAACGCAGATCTTCTGAATCAGACCAGAGGGAGGAGCGGCCCCGAGTGGGCATTTCAAAGGATCTCAGGGTTATTCTAAAACAGGCCAAACTCAGAGAGTCTGCTTTGGTCTGTAACACAGTACACCCCAACGTGTAGCCATCTGATCAGCCCCTTCCATCTACCTCACCAGGAGCTGGTTAGAAAGGCAAATTCGTGGGCTCCATCCCAGAACCAGTGAAGCGGAGTCTCGGGGGGAGGGGGCAGGGGGCAGGAATCTGAGTTCACAAGCTCTCCAGGCAGTTCTCACGCACACGAGTTAGAGAACCTCTGCTTTAATGAATGGATGTCTCTGAAGAAATAGACCCACGATTTCAAACGCCCAGGACAGGTATCTGTGTAACCTTGTGTGTGTAGGAAATGCCCCTGGAAGTTTATGTTTAAATGAGAACCAGAGGTTCCAGAAGAGTAGTGGAAGATAAAGGCAACTCTGACTTCTTGAGAGTCAGACTGAACCATGAAATGACTCAAGTGGAACACAGTTGTTTTTACTGCAGACTTGCCCAAGCAGAGAGCCTTTGGTAGAGTTTCCATCAGAAATGTTCATGTTTTCACTTTTACAGTTTCCATTGGGTTCAAGCCTGGGAACAGCACACATACGGCTGGAGATGAGCCACCAGCAGAGGGGCCAGTTGCTTACATTAGTGTCTCAATTTCCAGAGTGTGACATGTCTGTTTAGGTTGAAACCTCTCAAAGACCAACAGCCGCCACCACCCCCACCCTTGTCAAACCACACAGCACCCACTATCTTGAAATGGGCTGAGGGAGCTGAATGGCTTTGCCAACGATTCTGACAAGTCATGGGGGGAAGGTAGGCCTGGAATTCACCTCTCCTGTTCTCCAGGCTCATGTGGATTGTGGGGTGGGACCTTCCTACTTAGAATTGATCCCCTTTGACATTTGAAATCCAAGGCTGTTGAAAGGGGAAGCAATTCTTCTTCCATGGCCCCCTCTCTCAAGGTAAAGCAAATTTAGCATCTTCTATATGTCTTCTACTGTTTCGACATTGTCCCTCCAAATGCCATATTTCCAAGATGGCGTAGAGGAGAATACACAAGGGTGGATGAACCTGAACTCTCCTTCCACCTTAGCCACTCACCTGTAGTGAGTGTAGTTTTGGATGAGGGATTCTACCTTTTTCTTGACCTCAGTTTTCTCTTCTGTAAAATGGGGGCTATCACAGCCTGCCTCATGCTATGCCATGAGGCTTATGATATTCTGAGCATGATACCTCTGATATATAGTAGCTGTTAAATGGCAAATGTTAAATTTTTCTCTCCCTTTTTCTACTGTGCTGTCTTCTTAAATGCCAAGAATGACACACGTGTTTCTTAATATCATTACTATTCCGGCAATTTTGAAATCCCTCTTCTATATCCTACCTTAGGTGCAGGAGGGACTCAGAATCAATTCTATTGAGCAGTGGTTCTCGAGTCTAGTTCAGGAACCAGCAACATCAGCATCACCTTGGAACTTACTCGAAATGCAGACCCACTTCACACATACTGAATCAGAAACTCTGAGGGTGGGGCCAGGCCTCGCATTTCCTGAAGCCCACCAGCTGACGCAGGTACCCACTCACTTTGAGAACCATTGGTTTGTCTAAAAGCACGCACTCTGCAGCCAGGTACATGAGTTCCTTCCTAAAACTCCTGTTGATATACCGCAAAGGTGTTCTACAACCGGCAGGAAGAAAATCTAGGCTTTTTACTAAGGCTTTAAATCTCCACAAAATTGGATATCTGGCTAATTTTTCCAACTGGTGTCCTGCTACCACTCTCCTTCACGCATCCCACTCTAGCCCAACAGCCTTCTTCTTGTTCCTTGAGCACACCAAACCCATTGCAGCATCAAGATGTCTGTCATTACTACTTGCTTTGCCTGGAATGCACCTCCTGACTTTGATCTCTCCCTTTCTCCAGGCGTCTGCTGGAACGTCCCCTCCTCAGAAAGGCCTTTCTTTTTTTTTTTTTTTAAAGATTTTATTTATTTATTTGAGAAAGAGAATGAGATAGAGAGAGCATGAGAGGGGGGAGGGTCAGAGGGAGAAGCAGACCCCCCGCCGAGCAGGGAGCCTGATGCGGGACTCGATCCCGGGACTCCAGGATCATGACCTGAGCCGAAGGCAGCCGCTCAACCAACTGAGCCACCCAGGCGCCCCCAGAAAGGCCTTTCTTGACTATGATCCCTAAATTCTTCCTCCCCATCCCCATCACTTGGGTTAGCTATTTTCACTTTAGTTTTCTTTTAACCATTCTTTAAGGGGTAGATATATTTAGAGCAAGTTCTTTTTCTTCATCCGAAAATGTCTCTCTCCCCCTCCATTCCTGAAGGATAGTTTTGCTGGATATAGAATTTGGAGTTCTTTTTGTTCAGCGCTCGAGAGACGTCGTGTGCTACTTCTGTCTGGCTGCTGCAGTTACAGATGAGAAGTCTGTGGTTTGAACCGGTGCCCACTGTAGGTAGTGTCTTATTTCTCTCTGGCTGCTTTCAAGCTTGTTTCTTTGTCTTTAGTTTTCAGAAATTTAATTATAATGTGTCTTGCCATTATAATTATGGGTTTATCCTGTTTGGAGTTTTCTTCACTTCTTGAATCTGTCTTATTTCATCAGAAGCTCAGCCCCATCCTCTTTCTCCTCTCCTTCTAAGACTGATGACATAAATGTTGGATCTTTCGTCATAGTCCCACAGGTCCTTGAGGTTATGTTAAAGTTTTGTTTAGATTGGGTAAATACTCTTTTTTTTTTTTTTAAGATTTTATTTATTTTTTTGACAGAGACATAGCGAGAGCAGGAACACAAGCAGGGGGAGTGGGAGAGGGAGAAGCAGACTTCCCGCTGAGCAGGGAGCCTGATGTGGGACTTGATCCCAGGACCCTGGGATCATGACCTGAGCCGAAGGCAGACGCTTAACGACTGAGCCACCCAGGCGCCCAATTGGGTAAATACTCTTGCTTTGTCCTCAAGTTCGCTGATTTGGTCCTGGCATCTCCATCTGCCATTGAGCCCATCCAGTGAGGCTTTTCTTTTTTTTTTTTTTTTTTCCAATTTTGTAATTTCCATTTGGCTCTTTTGTTATGACTTCCATTTCTTTGTTGAGATCCCTATATTTT